TTAGCTATACAGCAGCCTATCAAGGGTTGCGAGATGGCTATGCACAGTGCGGCCCTACTAGCGGAGGAAAACCACGATCTACGCGCAGCCAACGAGAAGGAGAAACAGAAAAAGAAGCAATCTAGACATCAGATGACTCCTAATGAAGGACACAGTATACGGGAAGCTACGGATCTTATTCAGGCAAGAAATGAGCAAGGTAATGAGACTGCGGTTCATCCATTAGTTCTGCGCCATTACCTTTTGAACCACCAAAACGAGCGCCACTAGGGTGTTCAAATAGCTTTATTGTAGGGCATACTAGAGTTAGATGCCCTACACGTAATACTAGCGAGATCCAATGAAATAATACATTATTTTGGTTGGTTTAGATAGCTTCAAATTTGGACGCGTTGAATTCGAATGGGGGGTTGCGGCTCACCTGGGAATTACGTTAGTTAATCCTCCGCCAATTCCCTCAGGATGACCTAATACACTTTTGCAATTAGATGTTAAGCAGCCCCTGTAGACCTCCGTTCCTCATTCATCATCTAGGATCATTTCTTGCTTGTGCCACTACCAGATCCCACTCACTTCGAATGAGCTAATCCTCAAATGGTTTCCGATCCGAAATGAAAGCACTGTATCGCCTGTCAGTCCTCGATGCCCAGGGCAATATTTACATAGAATCCATGTGGACTTACTGTTCTTGATAAGCATGGACTTTGGGATTGCGCACTTCCCATTACAGCATTCTCGTCGGACAAGTTCTTGCTGTACCAGAGTGGATGGAAAGTTAATTCAGTCGTTGGGTTCACGGGTGGGAGAAGCGGCCGTCGCTGTCGTAGTTTGATTACATTAACATGAATACAAGATATCAAGTGCAAGCCAGGCAAACAGCAGATTCACTAGGCTCTAAGAGGTATGTTAGTAAACAACCCCAATAGGTACGGAGCAGTTACTTCTTCCACTTTAAGATCTATCGCAACTAGGTAAGGGGGTTCGCGCTATCGTGGTGGTACTCGAAGTAGGCAGATTACACCCTTGCCATCTTCAGGACCAAGCAATTCTCATCACGATCATTGAGTTTCTCAGTGCGTTTCCAGTGACAATCGCCTCTTCTAAATTGTCCATTGATTCTCTTTTGAATCCCACCATGGGTCATTGCAAGCGTTCCCGTGACCGCTCATGCTACCACGCCTCAGAAACCTGGGTTTCCCATTCGAAGTACAAATCGTTTGGATTCCACGCTCCTCCTAACGACCAATCAAACTACGCTGGCAGTTTACGAGTAGCTAAAAAATGTCCCATCTGGCCCATAGTCAGGACTGAAAGGGCCATAGTCAGAACTCACAGGACCAAAGGATCATGCAGAAGGGAGCCTTTCCATTGTCCACTTACCTCATGTCTCCAGAAGTTTTACAATTCCTGGGTGACGATGATGTCCGGAATATCCGGTCTGCTTTGCATGTGCCGTGGCAGGAGCATATTCTATCTCTCTCTGCCATCTCATCATAAAAATTTTGAGAGTCCAGATCTCCTCCATAGACTTCATTTTGACACTTTCCGAGAATGTAGATTAGTACGAATCGATTACGAGGCATATTGGTATCATTCAACGATGCAGATATCGTTTCTTCGATTTGATGCTGGAAATATGACAGTAAAGATTGGCACTCTGAGCGATAGTCGCGAGCGATTGAACATAATAAATGAAGATCTCTCGGGAATTGCCTGGCTGCAGGTGTTCCTCCCAGATGGATGAAATTAGCAAGGAACACCATGAATTTGAAGCAGCACATAGCAGTGGAACCGCTAGATTCTTCCAGCCACTTTAGTTCAGTGAATCTCCCAACACCGTTCGGAGTTTATTCAAGGTACGTTTCGGCCGGAATACCCTCGCAGTGGCAATGAATGCAGCCTACCAAACAGTGCACATGTCATACCACCTGGACTCGAATTGTGGCCATTTCGTTCCCCCGCGACAACAGATCGCAAGCTACTTTGCCATGTGGAGAAGATACGAGATACCAAGAGTTTTGAGACACGGCAAGTTTGGGTGTTGCAAACTCTTGTGACTGATGACGTCTTCACTCGGTCGTGACTCATTGTTTTGATGGACTTTTAGAGAAGAACCCTGGTCAGCGGTGACCTTCTCCTCATTTTACAGTATGCCCTGGCCGTCCACATTAGGAGATGAGACCTCTGCTGTTCAGCGAAAGACCCGTGGACTTTATAGGGATATTGAGCGATTTGTCGACATGCAGCACGTCGTGGATACCCAATTTCCGCGCGGCCAGTGACACTTCGGAGCCTGCCGATTATGTCTCATCTATGGTCACCAAGGAGGTATTTCGGATAGCAGGACCACTCGGTATCGGAGCGGACTCCGTATCGGCTTTGGCGTTTTTCATGGACAAAGGGTTAGCGTATATACCGGTGCTTCACAGCGGCTATGACCTGTGGCAAGCTAGCGCGTGTGCGACGCTAGATTTTTCCATCTGGGTTTTTACTCACAGCCTGAACCTTGAGTTGCATATAGCGGAACAAAAGTACCCTTGTTGCAGGACATGCGAGGACTTTTAGCGAGAGAAGAGTTTGGAATGGGGGCGGCGCTTTAGTGGCACATATGTCACAGCCGATCATTTTGCGGCCTGGTTCTGGAGGTGGGGCTTGCTTGTGATAAAGGATTGTGGCGTTCGCTTGGAGAGAGGGATCTCAGGTCTCGTGCAAAGCACTGAAGATGCATTGCAGGTGTATAAAGCGTATCACCATGGGTCCTGCACAGTTGCACGTGGCAAGATCATACCCCTGAGAGGGCATGTTCCCTGCCCTGAAGGTAAATGACCGTAGGCCTAGGTACTGATAGTGCAACTTACATAAGGCACTCCACAAACCTGGTGGTTCTTACAGCGCCGCGAGAAGAGAAAATGAATAAACACTCCGATCCATAAATATATGGGAATCTGTTAGGCTTTGTGGCCTATAGTATTTCGACTCCGACTACAAGGCCAAAGTTAACATTTAGCGACCACTGTAAGGAATTTTATAGGAAGTCTGCTGCATAAGTTGCAGTAGATGTTGATCAACAACAGTAGCAGACGAGGGGAAAGAATAGTATCAGATGGCTTTGTGAAGTAGGCACGCAGGGGAATCGACACGTAGATACGGCGGGTCATTAATCCGATCAACTCATGTGTAACAATATGAGTAGCTGTCCAATAATTCCAAGATGATCGTCATATTAACTTAGTCTCACGTCTTAATGGACGGCCCGTGTCCGTGTCTGTCCTCCACACTAGTCGATTTGACCCACCAGGCTCAGATATATTATGTCTACAGCTCTATCGCTGTAACCTTGTCGTGTCCCATGCTGATTTCAGGTTAGGCCCTACGTGGCTGTTCGTCATTGGCTTTGGCTCCCATTATTAACAAAGAATTGGTGGGTATGTAAGAATACAGAAAGGGCGAAGAGTCACATGAAGGAGCTCCTGAGGACAGAGTATCCGTGATGGTCTTATTGCAACACAAGCGAAAACCGGGGACCCCCACGAATCCTTCCGTGGCCCCCAAGTTTGAAGCAAGGCGCTGTCGGCTTCCTGTCGTGCCGCTAGGTTGATAGCAGTACGTCGTGTTCAAGAAACAAATGTGACGAAGAAATACCATCATTAAGCACAGGAAGAATGTTACATTCCGGTAAGCCAACAGAAACTTCATGACTGGACCCGAAGGACTATGACACGCCAAGATCTTCGCACTCCGGACAGATACGATGTCGCATAGCTTCTCTTGGCCTAGGCAACAATCTCGCTTTCCTGGCCTATCGTTATCCTTCATGCTCTCAGTGATTGACTACCCCGATCCGTTTAGGGCCTGGGGGTTCCAGGCTTGGCCCGTAATAGCCGGCCTGTTCTCCGAAACTGCTTGGCAACTGGCACCAAACATAAACACTATGGGATCTTGCGGCATTTTCTACTTCGGTGTTGCTTTCCTCTGAATCCCGCTTGTAAACCTTCACCGTCTAGGCCAATTACATGGTATCCCATATTGTTTTCAACAAAAAGATACAAGGTATTTTATGGGATGTGCATCGGGTAAGCAGCCAGAGATTGGGAGAAAGCGGCGAGCGTTCGCGACCACCAAAACTGTATGTGTACTACGTACTAGTAATCTACAAATCTATATGGAACCGAGCCTATGGGAACCGAGCCTACGGACTGGATCTCAGGGAAGAGGCCAGAATCCGATCATCTTCAGATGCGGGGTATCTGTTTCGGCTCAAGTTCGTAGAGAATAATAATATTCTGTGAGCCCCACCTTTATTCGTAATGTTGCAAGGAACTTTACTCAACTAGGAGATTGGTTATAAGCACTTATGCATACTTGATCCTGTTACCAGTGTAGTTTATGTGGACTTGGAGGGCTCTGGGCCTTCCCCGGTTTCCCCCTTCTTTATGCTATAATAGGCAGGCGGTGTGACTAAAGATAGTCATTGCGGGATCTCCGCCTCCTCAACTTCCCATTGTTTATATTATCAATCCATTCACTTCGTCTCCCCTCCATCAGTTCGTCCAGTTTATAGCAAATTTATCAAGCTGATCTGCAACTGAAAAATGAACCACGTTACGCCACAGGTTGAATCCGATGCTGGAGGTCGGAATCCGAGGCCGTTCCGACGCCACGCCTGTGACCGCTGTCGCAGTCAGAAGCTCCGCTGTGATCGGACGGCCCACCGGACGGATACGTCAATCGCGTGCGATCGCTGCGCTCGGAATCATTTGACCTGTGTCACCAGCGCTCCCATGCCTATGGGTCGACCACGCTCGCTGAATTCCAAACCTCGTTGCAGTCGCAAATCTAGCAAGACGTCCGATGAAATGCGATCCAACGACACCAGGACTGACTCTCCGACCCCGCCCTCCGGTACCAGCACCCAGCAATTGCCCGACCTCGTCATGGCCGGAATGGATGCGATGAATGAGCTACCAGAATTAGGCTTCGACCAGGGAGATATGGGCTATGATTTTGACTTTCCAAACATGAATGTATTCAAGACGTCTGCTTTCGCCGATCTGGCCATGGGCTCGCAGCCCGACGCAGTCGGCCCGACCGACTTCGCAGCCGTCAACCCTCAGGAGCAGAATATTGAACGATTGTGGAAGCTTCATAGCACACTCCTGGAACTCGTATATCGGATCGAAAGTCAGGTGACAGACCGAACCGACCCCTTCACAAATGGTTCCTCGCCCGACACGCACCCTTTCGGCGCGCGCTTGCCTGACGTTGTAAACACCCAGAGTGACCATCCAATGCACCAGATGCTGCGCTGTTCACAAACATTTCTCGAAATCATCCAATCCTTCGTCTCCTCCTATCGCGAGTCAGTCTGCAGCATTCCGACCCCAGATCGTGCTGCCACCGACTGGTCCCGGGATTCGGACGACGAGGACCTCATGTATCAAGACAATCATCGCCCAGCTTCAGCCCCAGCCCAGGACACCTCATCCTGGTTCACGCTACCTACCCTAGACAATCTGTCAACCGCATCCCCTCCCGGCTCCGGCACAGGGCGCAATGGAGCCCGGTTTCGAGGAGGCCAGGAGAAGAACAGCAGCAACAGCCACCCCGACAAGAAGCTCCAAAGACCGCAACCGGCCCTACCACCCGCCTGTCAGACCCAATTCCCCATCTGTCTAACCATCACGACCTGCCACATGCTGCTCATCCGCCTGCACCGCTGCGCTCTGACCGATCTGTATGCCTCCGTACGGTCCCTGGTCGCGCAATACACCCCTGCAGGCGATCTGACCGGCCCACTCGCCGTCCTGGACAATTTCTCGGGCTCCGCACCCTTCTCCAACGTGCACTTAGACGGGTCGACGTTGAAACTAGACGGAGTACTGCAGATCACGATAGTCTTGCAGCTGAGCTGCGATCTGCTCGAACGCATCGACCGCGGTGTGGAGATCCTGTTGACAGGTGCGGGGCATGTTCTTTCTGCTCCGGGGACGTATATGGCTGTTCTGGAGGCTCTGGCGCAGCAGGAGGCCCGCAGTGGGCGCGGACCTGCGATTCTGGACGGGACGGGTTCCACCGCGGGCCGTGCGGCTCGGTTGGCGCCGTTGCGGATGCTCGTTAGGGAGATCCGCAAGTGTATTAATAATACCTGTCTGTAATAATGGTGAGGAGGACGAGAGGATTTTCGGGGCTGAGATGGAAGGATTACCGAGCTTTCCTATGTTACTTCCCTAGAACATACATCTCGTAGATCCCCTTATTACTTAGAGTCCTGTGGTCATCATGCCTTTTGTTGTCGTTCGGCAAACATCGGTCATGTAACATTCACCTGGTACATGTAATTTTCAACAATGTGTATCTGTTGAAACATACCACGCTCCACGCGGCTGAGAGATTTCTGGTGCTGTCCCGAATAGAGCTGGTCGTGGGTTAAATATAGGCTGATCCATAACCTATTCAACCAACCCTCATATCCATGAGGGTTGGATTATGGATAATGGATATATCCATACTACCTGGTCAGGTGACCCCTACTATTCTAATTATAGATATTATATATGACCTATTATATAATCTAAAATAGGCTTAATTAAGGTGGTACGGGGGACCTCCAAGATTTAGTTAAAAGTGGTGCGGAGATATATGTGTCGAACCAGCACCATCGTAATCCTTAAAATTAAAAATCTAAAATCTACCATAACACCATTTTCTTAGTTAAACCAATATTTGTATTTCATATATAGATAGAAGCGATTATTCTCTATCCATCTACATCAGAATATAAGCCTATCTTGGCCTAGATAAGATTAGATAAGCTTATCAGGTGTAAGAGGCTCAAGCATCCAATGGGTTATCCATATCCAAATGGGTTGGGTACGGATTTTGCGGATTTGGTCAGCCAGTCCCATTCCAAGCGACAAGCATCTATCGCTTCACAGTATCTGTCTATCATGTGCCTTTCTATCGCGAGTACAGTATTTATCCAACAAGATCTCTAAACACACCAAAACCAAAATGAAAAACCAACATCTTCAACAATCAACAAGAAAAAAGGAATCAAAAACATCAAGAAGGCAAAACAAAAGGCAAGAAAATCGGTTGCTGCTGCCCCGCCAACAATTTAAGATACTCCCCGACCATGGGACTCATTCCCGTCTGTACCGCCTGTTGGATCCAGTCCGCTAGCCCTAATGTCCGGATCTCCTCCCCTGTCTCTTTTGCCAAATGATCCTTGAACCCTTCCACAGGCACCACCACGTCCCCAGCATGATGATGAAACTTTGCTAGTTCTCCTTTTGCTTGGTCGCCATCTCCGTCGTGACTGTCAGACCTCACCAGCGCGAGAATCCGCCTCGCCACGTTTTCGACATCCACAAAATCAAGCCATCCCGCCAAAAGGCTCGTTAACACAGGAACAGCTCTCATCGCCCGCGAGAAACGCACCACATTCGGAAAAATATCCTGCGCCGGTGCTTCGGGGCCCGTGATGGCCGTCGGTCGGTGGATGTGCACCTCCACGCCCCATCGCTGACTTGCCTGCTCGAGATACATCTCGCTCACCCATTTACTGGCTGCGTAGCCTCCACTGCCGTCGTTGGTAGGTGGGGGGAAGGCTGCGACGGAGGTAGCGGGGAATCCTGTGCTAGTTTTTGATGGTGGCGCGAATTGGATCACGCTGGCTGTCGAGATGAAGTGCAGCGCTAGGTGGTGAGCGCGGGCCTGGTGCGCTAGCCATTTTGTGGAGGCGACGTTGACGGAGTGCATGACCGGGTAGGTTTTCAGGAAATGCACGTCCGCGCCGTTGTGGATAATTATGTCTGCTGACGCGAAGATGCGGTCGCTGGTTTCGGGATCGAGGCCGCATAGAGGGAGGGCGAGGTCGCCTGAGTGGATGGTCACTCGCGATAGGGAGTCCGCGGGGGTGCTTGCTAGCGGACGAGAGGGGTTTCGGACGGCGATGCAGTGGACCATTTTTATGGTGGGGTCTGCGAGGAGTTGTTGAAGGAGGACTTGGCCGAGGAAGCCTGTTGCGCCTGTGAGGATGATGGTTTGACCTTGGCGATTACGGCGTGCTTTGGGTTGTGAAGGTTGGGTTGCTATGGGGTCTGCGTCGAGAGCGATTTCTTGGGCCCAGTCGATCCTGTCCCAGGTTTTGTCGGTGGCGTCGGGGTCAGTGATATACGCGGCCATCTTGGCTAGAGTTGTCCGCTCGAATAAGTCGACCAGCACGATTTTCCGACCAAAGGCTCGGGTGATGGATCGTTGGAGTTTCACCAGGAGCATCGAGTTTCCCCCCACGTGGAAGAAGTCCGACTTGGGGCCGATTTGATGCAGCTGGACTACTGCGGGGGGTAGGACCTCTTCCCATAGCGTTCGGAGATGTGCCTCTGCTTCGGTGAGACTGGATTCAATGTCTGGGGTGTTGATGGGAGGCGTGACATGATAGGGCATGGTCTCGATCGCGCGTCGGTCTACCTTGCCATGTGAGTTGACGGGCAACGAGTCGGCAATAATAACCGCTGCTGGCCACATGTACTGGGGCAAAGGTAAGCGCGGCGTGAGAGCATCCACGAACGCTCGTTGCTCCTCCGAACTCAACTGCTGTTGCTGTTTGCGATGGAACACCACATGCGCTAAGAGGTACTGGGCGTCAGCGTCTCCTCGAACCGTCACGACGACCGTCGTTAGCCGTCCTTGCGCCGCCTCAAGCAGTGCGCATTCGATATCGTTCAGGTCCATGCGCAGACCTCGGAGTTTTATCTCCGTGTCACCACCAATCCGGCCTTCGAAATCCAAGATACCATCTGGTCGCAACCTGCCGCGGTCACCGGTGCGATACCCTCGCAAATCCCTTTCCCTGACATTCAGGGAGCTGGATCGCGGAAGCGTGAACCGAACGAATTTCTCACGGGTCAAGTCCTCGTTGTTCAGGTATCCGAGCGCAATTCCAGGGCCGGTAATGAGGATTTCGCCGGGCACCCCAACTGGCACCGGCTTCAGATTTCGATCCACTACAAAAGCCGAGTAATTCACATTGACAGGGCCCAGAGGCACGGGTTTATTGGAAAGTGAACGGTAGTCGACCTCGAACGAGTGCGAAAATATACTCACCTCCGTCGGTCCGTACACGTTCTGTAATTGCAAATCCTGCTTGTCCAGCGTCCGGAGCTCGTGCTTGAGGTTGTCGCTGATTTTCTCACCGCCCGAAAACAGAACTTGCCATTTGGACGCGGCAAGGGCGGACGCTTGCTGGGGCAGGGAGTTGGCGAGTTGCAACCAGCTTTCGTACTCCGAGGGAGTTGCCATGGAATGGGTCAGTCCATGCTCCAGAATCCGACCAAGGATCGCGGCTGGGTCGCCACGGTATTCCCTTCGGAGTAGAAACAGGCGACCTCCGTTGCATAGGGCCATGAATGCTTGCGCAACGGACATGTCGAACGTTAGCGCACTCTGCTGAAGCATAGCCATCTCTGGTCCGAGCGCGAACATCTGGCTTGATGTTTCGATCTTATGGGCAAATGCCGAATGGGGGAGGATTACTCCCTTGGGTTGGCCTGTGGAACCACTTGTGTACAGGATGAACATGGCGGAATCTGCCTTTGATCGATTCGCGACCGTGGTTTGGTTCGTCATCTTCGCCCCGGCAACGTCGATGGTGATCACGTCGGGCTGTCCTGCTAGCAGCTCAGGGACATCCTTTGCGGTGGCTGAGTGAAAGAGAACGGCCTCCGGCTTGCAGCTTTGGGCGACCCGCTGGAGTCGAGGGAGTGAAAGCTTAGGATCAAACGGAACATATACCGCTCCTATCAGGAGGACAGCCAACATACAGCAGACCCAGTCGATGGTAGGCTGTTGGAACACAGCCACTTTCCAACCCGGGACTACACCGTGACTCAACAGAAGCGCGGCGATGGCGTGCACGCGCATAGACATCTCTGCGTATGTCACAGACAGCGAACCATCCTCGAGTGCGGGTCGTTGGGGGAAGCGAGCTACCATTTCGCCAACGCGGTCTACCAGAGTGCCTTTCCACTGTAGCGCATATTTCGGGCCCTGTGACAACACCATAGCTTTATCAACATCCTCAGCCGCGTACGGCTGCGGTTCATCCAGCCGGGTTTCCGGATCCTCGCTGAAGGCGCTCAGCAGCTGCTTGAAGCTGGCCGCTAGGACCTCGGTCTGCTCCGCCGAGTACAGATAATTCTGCGTCATAAACATGATCGTGGCCTCGGACTGCGCGTTCTCGATCACATCCAAGCTAATGTCGTACCCCGTTTTCCCAATTTCATATTTATCGCCTTCGAGACGACAATTACCGAACGGCAGACTCTCTTGCGCGCCTTGACGATAGTTCACCAATGCCTGGAATAGGGGAGTGTATGATGATGATCGGGTGATCTGCAGCTCATTGTATAGTACGTCGATGGGGGCTTTGGAATGCGCCAGGGCCGACTGCGCTTGGGTACGTGCCTCTTCTAGGGCCTGCGCGAATCGATCCTGACCATCTCCGCGCAAACGGACTGGTAGAAGATTCAAGTAGAAGCCCACACTGTCGGGTGCGCCGCTGAGATGGTTTCTGTTGCCGTCGGCCACCCCGATGACGAGGTCGTGACTCCCTGAGAAGCGGTATAGCAAAGCCTTGAACACGGACAGATAGAAATGGAACGAGGTCGCTCGATGTGTGCGTGCGACCTGCTTGATCTTCGCTCCGAGAGACCGTGGGACCTTGAAGTCTACGCGATGATGCGCATATTGCAGCATTGGCTGGCGGGTCGACCGTGTGGAGACAGATAAGATAGGGAGAACATCAGGCATATCGCGCAGCTCATTGCGCCAGTACTCAATGTCGGATTGAACGGCGTTGCTCTCTACCTGCTGGTACTGCCAGGTAGAGAATTGGTGATATTGAAGTGGTTCGGGCCCCAGCGCCCTTCCGTTGTAGACCGCTTCGAGGTCTTTGAAAACCACCTGCAGACTAATCCCATCCATGTTGATGTGGTGGTATCCGATAAGAAGGTAGTAGGACTGAGAGGGCCCCGACAACAACATGATGCGCATACTCTCACCCATGGCGAGGCTGTATTCGTGCGCGTGCATGAGATGGAATTGTTCCACAGCTTCATCGTAGTTTCGGACGGAGCCCCTCTCCAATTCCAACGTCGATTCGGGCAGAATGCCTTGCCATGTTTCGCCCTCCCCTCCCTCGAAGAAGCAAGTCCGCAAGGCGGTATGTCTGTTGCCAAGTGCATGGACAGCCCGCGCCAGGGCGTCCGTAGCGGGAGCTCCGCTGATTCGGATCAAGCAGGTGATGTTGAATGTCGTCCTGTCTCGGAGGTACTTGGACAAGAACCAGAATCGACGTTGTCCATAGGACATTGGCTCGCGTCGCACGACAGGCGGTGGCTCAGTCTTGGTAGTGTCCGGCTCGCTGGTGGCTGTGGACGGAATGGAACCGTTTAAAGGAGTAGATACCGCCTCCTCGGCTTCGGAGCTGTCTGTGGAGTGAATAGATGCAGTCTCCTCTTCGATCTGCTTGGAAGTTTCCTCAACATGCTTCGAAGCTTCGTCAACCTGCTCCGAGGCTTTGTCGAGCCGCTCATTAGTGCTCCCCTCCACGGTTGCAGGCTGGAGCTGCTTGACCGCGTAGGCGATCAAATCGGTGATTGCAGTCCCTCCCATAATCTTCAGCACAGGCATATCCACCCGTAGCTCACGCAGCCACCACGACCGAATGTCTACCGCCACAAGGGAGTCAACCCCGAGCTCATCCACACCTTGACCAAGCAATCTGGCACGGGCCGGCGCATCCTCAAGTTCCGGCAAAGACAGAGCCATTACAAGTTTATGCAAAAAGGCATCCTCCACAATCTGCCGAATCTCAGCCTCGTCAGCCGCCTCCGCCACACGCGTCGTAAGAGCAACCATTGACTGCGCCTGTCCCTGGGCGGAAGATGGGACCGACTCAGTCGGCAGAATACAGTGGGAGAAGCGAGGATTCTGCGCCCACTGCACGGTTTTCAACTGATCACGGCGACAAAGCCGGATGCCCGCCAACACCTGCGGGTTCTCCAGCGCGTTGTCCGGCCGGCCGGCCAGAATGGCCTCGGCGAAGCTCTGGTGGAAGTCGTACTCGGACATCCAGAGATAGCCGTAGTCGCGAAGTTGGACCTGCAGGGCGTAGCTACGGTCGCGCACCAGTACGCCCACGCCCATCATGGCCCCAATATCGATTACCGAGCCCACCAGTCCCCGCTCTTTGCGTTGCGCCGCAAGCCCTGCCATGAACATGTTGGCCGCTGTGTAGTTGGCTTGTCCGCTGTTGCCGCAGGCACCCGTTAGAGAGGATAGCATGATGAAGAAGTCGAGAGGGTGACGTGCTGTGAAGATGGAATCGAGGTATCGGCTGCCGTCGATCTTGGGGCGCAGCACTGTAAGCATCTTCTCGACATCCATGTCGTAGATGGAGGAGTCCCGAAGTACCATGGCTCCATTGACTACGCCGGCGATGGGCGGGGCTGTCTTCTTCAGTTGCTCGTATAGGGTCTGTACCGATTTGCGGTCCGTGATGTCACTAGATTCTGGTTTTTAGTGCCTCTCTGGGATGGTTCACGGGAATGGGAGGTTCTCTAACCTGGCAATTACAGTGACCTCTGCTCCCTCCCGATGGAGGGATTGTATCCACCTCTCATCTACCTTGGGACTCCGACTGGTGATGACTAGGTGTCGAGCTCCCAGTCGGACCATCCACTCACAAAGCGACAGTCCCAACCCACCGGTAAGCCCTACGAGCAAATAAGTCCGATCGGCATGGAATAAAGGCTGTGCTTCAGCGGAGTCCAGCTGGGCCACGACCGATTGTGCCTGCCAGTCGATAAGGGCATAAGGAGAATCGAGGGTCTGCGGCAGCTCCGCGAGATTAACAAGATGCCCAGAAGATGGAGTAGAATCGCCAGCCTCGTCGACGCGGAACTGCTCGTACGCTTGCTGGAGTGCTTCCACGCCGTTGTTGTCGGGAAGAGTACAGGCTCCTGCGCCTCGCACACGTTGCATCTCAATCAGCCTGCAATCATACATGGCCGAGAGACGACGGGCTGCAGAGTCATGTTGGGGCGATTGTGAGAAATCGAGAACGATTGATGGTCGAATGGGGATTGATGCCCTCAACTCTCGATCACTGGCTCTGCGATGAAGAACGACGTCGTCTGGATAACTGCTCTTCGCGTGCGTGGCCCAGGCTATGTTGTATCCCCGAGCCCGAGCAAGGCTGGAGAGAACGGTTCGGGAACTGGGATCGACATCGAAAGCAACGACGCTGCTCTTGGGAACAGCGTTCCGCAAGCAGCTTTGGATGAGCACGTGGGTTGTCAAATACTCAGTTAGAACGAGGTCAGCGGGGGTGACCTCCCGGTTCTTATCTCCATGGAAAACGCACAGCCCTTTCTCCACACCGACCTGACTGGCTAGTCTGGGAGCCATTGCGAAGAGCGTCCTGTCCGACGCCTTGCAGCGTCCAAAGACAAGGTACCGAGCCTTGCCAGACGCTAGAGTGAGCGGTTGCGCGGTTGAATAAATCACGCTGACCAGCACCGTATTATCCGCTGGCGACAACTGAAGCGCGTGGTCGAGGTGAATAGTAGTTTCGCCCGACGCGGCTCTCTGCAGGCAGATTAGAGTCTCCGAAGGATTGACAGACTGGGTGACTAGTCGTCTTGACGCATTGTACCGATCGTTCTGAACTTTGTGTGGAATAACCCGAGGAATGTATATCTTGCCCTTCTTGATCAGGAGCTCAGGCTCGTTCGACCAGAGCACAGACGAAACACTGGCCGAATCTTGTCCCTCAATACCAAAGAGACAGAGACGCAAAGCATGCTCTGCGATAACTCGCGCGTCTGCTGCCTCGATGTCATTCCCGATATCCAAGAATTGGAGATTCACATGCGGCATTTCGAGCCTCGCAGTCCGTCCAAAGCCAACAGTAGCGTTACAGTATGGCTCGCTGCTACGCGCCCCTCGGAGTAGCCAAAGGATGTTCTGCGACCGGTCGAAAAGCGTCTTCAATGCGTTCCATATATCTTCTCGCAGATTCTTGAAGGCGGGACTATCCAAATCACTGAGGCAGATGATTGTGCTGAGGGCGTTAATTGGGTTATCGGCCAAGTCATTCAAAGAGTCGCGTCTCGTAATTCGGGAGCATTTGGGAGATAAATGGACCGACAGATCCTCGATCAGCCTGAGCGTGGACATGCTCGTACCTCCCACTAGAACGACTTCCGAGAGGTCCAAGTCGGATGAGGTGCTGAGCAGCGGTTGGCGCAAGAGCTCGACTCGCTCGTTCGTCGCCTGACTGACAATGATGCTCAAAGGCTGACCTGCAGACGAAGGGTAAAGCGCGTCTATGCCAGCGAACCCGTGTTGTTGAAGCTGACGATGCCATTCTGGAACTGTCAGCGGCATCGTTTTGGCAATGTCACTGTAGAGATCAAAGCGGGCCACTTCTCCCACGGTCTGAAGGAAAAGATAGCCTCCTGGGCGGACCAGGCGCCTAGAGGCCTTGAGAATATCATCAACGGGGGAATCACTCAGTACCAAAGTGGCTATAATCAGGTCGGACTGGTTGGCTGCGAAACCTTGCTCCTCGACTTCCCGTTTGAAGTCTATCGCTGAGATGCTCATTCGTGCCTTCAAGGGCATGAGCTCCTTGAAAACTTCCATGCGAGACTTTGGCGAGGCGAGGGTATAAGATGAAAACCCCGGGTTGATGTCTTGCAAGATTGATGAGGTCAAGCTCAGGTTGCTCGCGTCTGACTGGAAGTTAGTTTACTATCCTGTGTCGTGCATCATCTTCGGGCCAGTGATAGACTTACTGAGCTCAACAATATCCATTGCTGGATACCGATGCGACAGACGACGAAGCAACCGGCCCAGCTGATTGTTGGAGCTAGCCACCCCCAAGCCTTGCTGAAAGTATTGGGAAAGAAGATCGGTTTCCCAGAGTTTCTGCACATGGCTAGCTGTAGGTTCCTGGTCGCCCTGGGACAGGAAGTTTACGGTGTCAGTCAAGATAGTTAGATCGATATTCCCTGGGTCGGACCAATCGGGTTGTTCAGCAGCAGCGGAGTGTCCTCCCTCAGCCGTGGTAGAGCCATCCTCCTGTGACTCAGCAAGTGCAAGAAGATGGCCCTTGATTCTGGCGACACCAGCAGCATATTCATCGAGGCTAGCGATGTCGAACAGATGCTTGTTCGCGGCTGCAATGATTTCCCTCCCCTTCTTCTCGTCCTCAACAGAGGGCGGCGAAGAGGCCAGGTCTGGATCATTAAGATCAGCATTCTCCCAGATTTCACTCGCGAAGAGTGCCCTGTCGTCCGCAGCCGTAGGTGGTACGACTGGAACGACAGTGATCTGCTCGACTCGAATAGCGGCAGGTTCATTAGCTGTGCGCGACAACGTGATGTCTCCATTTATAGAGGCCTTCAAGCCTTCCTCGGACTCGGTGTGGAAATGAAACTTCTTCTCGGAGGTCGCACACAATGCCGGATTTACCTGCACCCGTTTGATGCTTGTCGGGACGTGAAGCGACGAAAGACGGCCATCCCCCGGCCAGCTGTAGGCTAGAAACACTGACTGGAAAGAGGCGTCCAACATAGCAGGGTGAACAAGCACGCCGGTAAGTCTTTCAGCATCAGATGCAGGCTGATAAACAACACCGGTGCTGAGATTGAGGTATCGTGCCAAGTTATCTAGTGCTTTGAAGGGCCCCATGTAATCATAACCGAGCTCTTTCAACCCGTCATAGAACCTTTCCCCATCGACCTGAATAACATCCTCAAACACTTGGCGTGCACAAGGGAGGGAGTCTTCGTGAGGAGTGCCCAATGTGACACAGACGCGACCATGTGCTGCCATGACGAGAGACTTGGATCCCCGGCCAGCAGTAGTGTGACAGTTGAACGTGGCAGTCAAGAGTCCATCAGAGCCTTCTTGCGATCCACGCGCGATGTTTACAAGTGTCACGACAACATCCGCTCCAGCATCGTCCTCATCGAATGTGATCGGCCGATCGATGATGAGGTCAAGGACCTCTATCAGGGATATGCTATGTTCGGGGCCCACGACTGACTTACTTGCTTCAATTGCCATCGAAATGTACCCTGAAGCCGGGAAAATAGTTTGTCCCTGCAGGGAATGTCCCCGCAGCCAAGGAATCTCCTTAAGGGATAGGATATTCCGCCATTGAACATGATCCGGGTTGCTTGTTTGAGGATTTCCCAGCAGGGGGTGTGGGAAAGAGTCGCGAAACAGTTCATCATGTATAACACGGGATTCATGCCAGAAAGGCCGACTATGATCCCAGGGGTAGGACGGCAAATTTCGTACCAACAAGTATCTTTCATCGGTATCTGAAAAGGCCGCTTGCAGTGTGGGAAGCTTCAGTGCATCACGTCCAAACCGAGCCCAAATGAAACTCATAGCATCGGCAAACGCTTTTGTGTCATGGGAATTGCGCTGTAGCAACCCTGTATAGGGAAGCTCCCGTTTGAGCGCGTCCTGGATAGTCGCAGTTGCAGGTCCCTTCAGCGCTGGATGCGGGCCCAGCTCGAGAACCAGATCATAAGAACCATCAGACTGCTGGATTGCCGTGGTGACTGCCTGTGAGAATAACACTGGACGGCACATATTCTCGACCCAATATTGTCCCTCGAGGCCTTCAGCGCTCGTGATTAGATTCCCATCATACACACTCGAGTACCACGAGCAGCGAGGCTCTTTCACCTGGATGCGTAAGGCCTCCAAGGAACTCCCATACGGGCGTGCACAAGGGCGCATATGATGAGAGTGATAGGCCTTGTCGACAATTAATGGGCGCGCGAACTTCTTCTCATCCTGGAAGACAAGGTATGCGTGGTTGACAGCATCCTTATCGCCCGACAATGTCACGCTCGCCGCGGAGTTGCTAGCAGCGACCGTCAATCTGCCGGCAAAGGTAGGCAACTCGCACAGCTCTTGGGCGTCTTCCATAGATGTCCCGGCTGCAAGCATACCTCCCGGCTCTCCCTGTTGGCCGCCTGCCTGCGCTGTGTGCAATCCGCGATAGTACGCGATCCACATGGCCGCCTCGCCCGAGATACACTCGGCGGCATATGCTGCTCCGATCTCGCCAGATGAGTGACCGACAACCGCGGAGAACTCAATCCCTGCCGCTTTCAAGCAGTCCACAAGAAGGATCTGGACTGCGGTACACAACGGCTGGGATAGACGTGCTTCTCCAACTTTGGCGGCAGGAGATAGCATTTCCTCTTTAAGCGACCACGTCGGACGATCCTCCTCAGGTAGACGAGATAAAGCTTTTTCTAACCCGTCCACGCGACGCTCTAGCCAAGGGGAGCTTCTGATAAGTTCGCGTCCCATCGCGGGCCACTGGGCTCCTTGTCCGGTAAAGATGCCTAGAACGCGTGGCTGTGCCTGGCCGATACTGACAGGCTTCACGACTGGAGACTGACTGCCCGTCCGAATCTTATCCGCGTTGACAAGGAGGCTATTAGCTAGATCTGAGGCATTGGTTCCAGAACAGGCAGCTCGGGTTGGCCACAAGCTCCGACGCATGTACAGTGTCCACGCGAGATCCGCAAGATCGGTATCGGGGTGCTGTCGAAGATGAGTGGCAACCCTTTCCATCAAGTCGGCCAGAGCCGATTCGGACTGTGCCGAGAAGACAAAGGGCATGATAATAGAGTCACTGCGTCTCGGGCGCTCCTGGTCAAGGTTTGAATAGCTCTCCAAGACGGCGTGGGCGTTCGTTCCACCGAACCCAAAACTGTTCACGCTGGCTCGACGAACTGAGCCTGAGTGGGCTGGCCACGGCTGCAGCTCAGTCGGAATACGCAGACGCGTCCAATACGGCTCAATCTCGGGGTTCAAGCTGCGGAAATGCATGTTGGGAGGGATCTGAGCATTTTGAAGTGCCAAGGAAGCTTTGAAGAGACCTGCCAAACCGGCAGTACCCTCCGTGTGTCCGATGATCGTCTTGATGGAGCCAACCATCAGGTTGGCATGATTGTCTTCGTCTGCTTCCGGTCCAAAGAAGGCATTAAAGATAGCCCTCGCCTCTTGCGGGTCTCCTGCCTTGGTGCCCGTGCCATGAGCTTCGAAGAATTGCGGCCGGTCTTTGAGGAGATCCAAGCCACCGGCTTTGTATGTCTTGCGTATCAATTCGGCTTGAGCGTCACTGCTGGGCATGGTGATACCTTTCGTACGCCCATCCTGGTTGACGCCCGTGGCCCTGATCACACATTCAATACTGTCACCATCCTCCAATGCCGTTGAAAGCTTCTTCATAACGATCGCAGCGACACCATCACCACGGGCGTAACCATTCGCACGATCATCCCACATGCGAGATCGACCGTCGGGTGAGAGCATTTTCAGCTTGCTTTCAGCAATGTACGGCTCAGGTCCGAGGAGAAGATTAGAACCAGCAGCAACGGCAACACGTGACTCGCCTGCCCGGAGAGCCTGGATTGCCTGGTGAACGGCGACCAAACTGGATGAACATGCGGTGTCGATTGTCCAGGAAGGGCCATGCCAGTCAAATGCATAAGAGACTCGATTCGCCAATATTGCTCGGGAGGTTCCAGTGGCAAAATAAGTCGGAAGCGTATCCATATCGCGAGTAAGAATGTCATTGTAGTCTGCGCACATCTGGCCCACAATGATAGCGGTGTTCGATCCCCTGAGGTTCTCTACGGGCAGGCCCCCGGATTCTAGAGCTTCGTAAACAACCTCAAGTAGGAGCCTCTGTTGGGGATCGATAGCCGCCGCTTCATTGGCGCTAATCTGGAAGAAACTGGCGTCAAAGGTCCGTACATCCTCCGTCAATGTATACGCATGTCGAACGTTGCTGGAGCCATGGTGCAATCCGTCTGGATGATAGAAACCAGCTGCGTTGTAGCGATCAGCTGGGATCTCGCGCAGGACGTCGCGGGGCTTTGATAGTAGTTCCCAGAGCTTGGCGGGTGAATCTGCCTGCCCGGGGAATCGGCAGCCACTGCCAATGATTGCGATAGGCTCATTAGACATGTTGTCGAATCCTGAACAAGCTTTGCTAATTGACTTGTTCTTGTTGACATTCTCTCTTCCTAGAGCCCAAACGGCCATCATCCTTTATATTACGGCACCCTCGTTGAAACATCTCGTGTTCGGGTAAGCAAAAGCCGGATTGATCGAGTATCTTTCCGATATCTGGCTGAATGGATTAGGTGTGCTGATACAGTAAGCCGGATGGTGAAGTCCAAGGTGTGTTGTCCGATGAGTGTGAATGTTGAGTGTGAATGTGAGTCTGAGCGATTGAAACTGGACGTTGATGCCTGAGGCAGCGAATTCGGGGACATTTGCAACCATCGACTATCGGACTCGGAATCTACAAGTCTGCGAAATATCTCCGAACAACTCAAAAAGACCGTGGAGATGGATTTCTCGCAACTTTTACTCTGCTTCGCTTTTCCTGAGTCGCAAAGGATTCAAATCTCCTATCCTTACGTACTCCGACTTGTGATTCACCGACAAACGCGATGGAAACCAGGAACAGTCCTCCCGAGTCGGTTGATACACCACCAGCCGAGGTCGCGGATGTTGCGTCGAAGTTGACCTTCAAACATGATCTTCGTTTTTGGTTGGTCTTCGTTGCGCTGTGTGTGACTTCCTTGCTGGCTGCTCTCGAAGGAACTGTCACGTCCACTGCTCTTCCTACCATTGTCGCCGACCTTCACATTGGCGACAATTACCCATGGGTATCCAACGCCTACTTTTTGACTACGTACGTGAAATACCTTCATTGCGCAAGCTTGCCGTTGAGTACAGAGTCTAATGTGCTTGACGTTACATAGGGCAGCCTTTCAACCCCTCTACGGACAACTCTCCAATGTCCTCGGTCGCCGGTATCCCATGATTTTCTCTGTCGTCCTCTTCATTCTCGGCAGTGGTATTTGCGGAGGTGCCTCGAGCGCGGCCATGCTCATTGCTGGTCGTGCGGTTCAAGGCGTTGGAGGAGGCGGAATCAACATGCTCATCGATCTTATCATCTGTGACCTAGTCCCCCTGACTCAGCGAGGCGCATACATTGGGCTGCTGTTTGTCGTCTTCGCCATCGGCACATCACTGGGCCCATTCATTGGCGGTGCCATTGTCAACCACACCACCTGGCGATGGGTCTTCTACCTCAATCTTCCGATCGGAGGAGTGGGACTGGTTCTACTGATCCTCTTCCTGCGAGTTAACTATAACCGCGACATGTCCATTGGGAAGAAGCTGAAGCGCTTGGATTACCTCGGAAACTTGCTGCTGATTGGCGCCATTGTCTCTATTCTGATTGCGCTCAGTTGGGGCGGCACTCGTTATCCCTGGTCCTCAGGCCACGTCCTCGGACCTCTAATTATCGGTCTACTTGGAATTCCAGCATTTGTTCTCTTCCAAGCAAGTCCGCTTGTCAAGGAGCCGACCACTCCGTTGCGACTGTTCAGCAACCGTACTTCCATCATAGCGTTCTTCAACACCTTCATGCACGGCCTCCTCAGCTTCTGGATCCTATACATGCTTCCGGTCTATTTCCAGGCCGTCCTGCAATCCTCCCCCGAGCGCTCCGGTGTACAACTTCTCCCCACCGTGATCTCCATGATCCCTGTCGCCGGAGTATCGGGCGCGATTCTCTCCAAGACAAGCAACTACAGAATGCTCCACATCGTCGGCTTTGCCCTCCTCACCATCGGGCTCGGCACTTTCACGGTGCTAGGCCCCCACTCCTCCACAGCAGCCTGGACGCTGACGCAGATGGTCGCTGCGTTCGGCGCCGGAACTATTATGCCCGTCCTTCTACCCGCGGTCCAGGCCGGGCTCGAGGAGAAAGACACGGCGACTTCCACGGCACTATGGGCATTTGTCCGCAGCTTCGGCATTATTTGGGGTCTGTCCGTGCCCGCAGCCATCTTCAACAATCAATTCGACAAGTTTGCCTCGTCGATCAGCGACAGCTCAGTACGTGACATGCTTACCGGGGGTAAGGCATATTCTTACGCCTCGAGTGCAACCATCAATGCGCTCCCAGCCCAAGTGCGTGCCGAGACCATCGACGTGTATTCCCGCAGTCTACGGGTGGTGTGGCAGGTCTCCATCGGTTTTTCGGGGTTGTCATTTCTGCTCTGCTTCTTGGAGAAGAACATAAAGTTGCGGTCGCATTTGGAAACGGATTACGGGCTGAAAGAAAAGGAAGCAAAGGAGGGTTCGGATGGAACTTCGCCGCCTGCATGAATCGCGCGTTGAAGATAACCGTGTGGTCACAGAGGCCTTACAGTCGACATGAGAGATGTCCTTGAATTTGCATGTTAGTATTTCGCTGGCGCCCCTGTAACGAAGACTATGGCACTCCTGTGGGCGATTAGCGAGACAAGAATGTTTTAGTATTTAAGGGATGGGTAACTATATGATGGCCCTGATTCAACACTTTAAGATAGAGAGATAGTGCCTGGTTTATCAGAATTCTGATCACTGACAACTTAACGATATTAAGCTCGTATTTCACATATCAAGATCTGAATTTCGTTTTCATTCTGCTCGTAAACATGCCCGTCCTGCATTGTATCCCTACTGCTGCCTCTAACCATGTATGTCTTCAGTACTCCGCTTAACATCCCACTGTTCATCCAAGAACTGAAACAACCTCTGCTGAAGAAGACGCCACGCACCGACCTTACCCTGCAACCCACCATCTCCTGCGTCCCTCGCTATCCAGAGATGCCGTTTCTCCTCCGGCAAATGATCTAACGCCTGCTCAATTCTCAACGTACTAATCTCCGGCGCCGTGTAGATAGTCTGCGCTGCCCCACTAATCATAACGCCGCACTTCACCTGACGAAGATACTCTCCCGATTCCTCATCACTCTTCAACGAATACCGCTGCATCTCCCGCATAGCCGCCGCCGGCGACGACTTCCCAAAGATCCACATAACATGTCAACTCCCACTTGAGCTGGAAATTCCACCGCGACAACATGCGCCACGTCGCATCGAACATCCCGTCGGTGATCCAGCCCGCTAGCCAGGCCCGAATAAACCAAGGCGGCATGCGGGACGTAGCCAGGTCGAACATATCGTAGAAAGGATCCACGGCGATGCACGCCGAGACGCGAAGATCCACGGCTCCTCGCAGCGCATAGTACGCCCCCATAGACACCCCGACCAGTGCAATCCGCGAGAGATCCAGCAACCACTCGGGATGCTCCTCCGCCAGCTGCTCCGCATAATCCAGCACGGGGGTCGTCACCTCCTCCCAGTCCGGGCGCATGGCACTCCTCCCTTTGCGCAAACTGGCGCCCTGCCCCGGTCCATCGAATAGTAGAACCGCATATCCGCGATCGCATCCGCTCGCCCCGTATAGCAGATACAGCTCCTCGGACGTCGAATCTGCTCCATTGATACACACAACCACAGGAACCTTCCGACCGGTCTCATCTCCCTGGCGCGGTAAAAACAAATACCCCGGCAGATGACCATCCTGGTACGGAATCTCCAGAACGTGCGTCTGGTGCCCCAACATCGGAATCGCCTGATGAAATGCATTGACACTCCGCGCGAACAACTCCTGCACGCGCGGATCCGGACTCCCTGGCCTGTCATTGAACATGTATTGACTGGCGCGAAAGTAGTTGGCTGTGCGCAGGAAGGCGTCGCGGGCAGCAATACAATCGTCGTGCTCCACAGCCTCCAGGGCTATAGCGTGCGCCTTCTCGGCCTGGACAAGCCAGCCCCGGTGCCAGCTCTCCGGGTCATCGCTGGCGATTTGCGTGGCTGCGTCGAGGCATTCTGCAAGCTCGGCGCCCCCGAAGGCGACTGTGCCGACTACTCGCGTGAACTCGAAGTTGAAGAAGGAGGAGGGGAAGAATTGATACATTTTGAGTCACGACTGTTTTGATGGAATAGGGATATGTATGCGATAATGTGGGTGGTCATAAATTAGTGGTTCTTGTATCGGAGACATTTGCATCAAGTAGGGCCGGATCGGGAAAGCCTCGGAACAATGATACGGGGATTTTTGTCTTTCGTCGCTTATTTATCATCGTGACGGGTTGTCCGAAGTATTGAATCTCGGAGGACTTTAGCTATTGGTGTGCCCTATATAATGAGACAGGAGCGCGTTCCTGACTTCTTATTCTCATCCACATTTCAAAGTCCTTGTCCATCTTCCACCCGTCATTCCAAAGCCCACCAAGGCCTAACATGTCTGAAACTGAATACAAAAAAGTCCTCCGCCTCGCAGGCTCCTACTACAAACTCCCCGAGGTCTCCGAGGAGGACTTCCACGCCTTCATTTCAGCCGACCACGCAGTCAAGGCCGCCAAGATCCACGAGAAATACGGGATCCTCCACTACCAATTGGTTCGTCCTCAATGCCCCCAAGACCCCTCTGACATACATGCGACAATCTAACTCAAGATATCATTGATAGGCAATCGGAACCAGCCACACTCGCGAGCTGGCTTACGGCCTGAAGCTCCCCTGGAAGATCGACGACCATGACGTGACCATCGAATATTACTTCACCGATGTGTCTGCCCTCCTCGCCGTGTCTGCGGATGAGGAATTCAAGGCCCTGCACGTCGATGCCGAGAAGTTCGTTCGCCTTGATGCGACCACTGTGGCCGTGACCTGGGTGGAGGTGTTCCTCAAGGATGGAAAGCTGGTCAATATTGGCCCGGATGGGAAGTCCCAGCACCCGCCTTTTGCGGAGCGGATTGATTTCGCGCTGCCAGATAAGCCGGCGGCTAAGTATTATTAGTCTTTGTACTTAGGATGGGTAGTTTTAGAGAATTTGAGGTATCAGTTATGAGTGGACTTATAAACCATAATGGATTAGAGTTGTAAAGCCCTAATCTCATAAGAGGGAGCTTCACGGGTATCAATTAATTCGAGTCAATTCTATGTTAGGCGGCTCAAGCAAAAGGAGGAAATGAAGACGAACTGATTACCAGGAAGCAAACAGAAAGGGGGTTGAATACCAGTAGTAGATATAGGAAAAGCAGCTCCATTCAAATCTATAGACCCGTCTGACGCTGATCAACAATATACACCAACTTCTCCCCCGAGACCTGCTTGGCTTTGAGCAAAGCCAATCCCTGAGGAATATCTTCCCAGCCCTCCTTCATCACACGGACCGGATGGGCTCTCAGCTCTTTATGCTGCAGCATCCGCTCCACTTCCTCAAACATCTCCCGACCCAACGCTCGATGTTTGGGGTCCGCCTCCCGGCCGTAGCCCCTATCGAGTGCGATCCGCTTGCCGAAGATGCTCAGCGCCAGCACCCATTCCATGGACACAGCCTTACGCGACCGCAACTCATCGGCAAACGCCTCGAGCCCGCAGTACTTGCCGCCCGCGCGGCCGATACTCCTTAGGCAGAGATCGACGGTGGCCGGCTCGGTGATACAGTCCAGAACGTACCGGAGTGTGTTCTTGGTGTAGCTCCGAATCTCTTCGGCGCACTGTTCGGAGTGGTAGTCGAAGACGGCCTCGGCACCGTAGGAGCGGACTAGATCCGCATTCTTGGGCGAACAAGTTGCGATGGCGCGATAACCAGCTCTGAGATTATGGTCAGTCATATCCCACGTAAGCTCAGTATCCAAAAAAAGCAACCACCAACCTGTGTAGAAACTGCAAAGCCATCGTCCCCGTGGCGGTAGTTCCTCCATAGACCAGCACAAACTCCTCCTTTCGCTCGGAGGATGCATCGATCGACAGCCCCAGCTCGTCCCGGAGGGCCAAAGCCATTGTCGCCGGACCCGCGCCCCCGATAGCAGCCGCATCTGTAAATGATAAATCCGGAGGAATGGCCGCCAGAATGTCCGCGGTGGCTCCGACGTACTCGGCAAAGGCTCCGACAGCAGGGTCGAGTGGGTTCGCCCCATGCACTCCACCGCATACGCGATCCCCAACCTTGAACCGCTCGGTCGCGGCAGATCCCACGGCAACTACTGTGCCAGCGAAATCACACCCAGAGACCGCGCCCGGAGTCGGGAAATTCGCGACCATTTTGTGGTCAGTCGGGTTCAGCGCAACCGCGGCCGTGCGCACCAGCACCATGTCCGGGGCCAGGCGGGGGATGGGCGCGTCGCGGACGTGGCCCAGCTGGCCATTTGGCAGGCATACAATTGCACGTTGCACTTGGGGAATATCGATGCATTCCTTGGGTTCGTGGAGTTTGTAGCCCATGTTTGTTTGGTGTTTGGGTTTGTGGGGGTGGTGGACGGGGCAGTTGCGATATTTTTATCTCTGTCGATCAGATCAAGATGGAGCAAGGCTGGGGCCATTTCTTGCAGATCTAATTCATCAGAATCTTCTAATGACCGGATATATCTTGGAATGAGAATTCAAGCTCACTGAGTATTTGGGATTTGATGCATGGATTGAACCCGATATTCCTGCATGCAAAATGTCTCCGGTACAGGGTTTGCCTCCCCGAACATGGCCCAAAAGTCCGCGAATCCGCGCCGAATTTTATTCGGCCTATCGCAACCTGACCCAGGCCCTATCATGAAGTGGTTGACTGGCATCGACACGCTTTCTCTGTAACTATCTTCCGCATTCGCGATACTACCGCTCAAGCGGAAGCAGACGCAAGTTTAACTCATGGCATCAAAAACATTCTACGAGTTTCAGCCCCTCGACAGTGCGTATATTCGAGTTCCAAAAAATTCTTAAAGTTCTTGATACTAACGCGTACGGCCATAAAAGAAAAAGGCAAACCCTACCCTCTATCTGCATTGAAAGGCAAAGTGGTCTTGGTAGTGAACACCGCCTCAAAATGCAGTTTCACTCCGCAATACCGAGAACTCGAGCAGCTATACCAGCAAATCGACTCGGAGTACCCGAACAAATTCGTCGTACTCGGATTCCCTTGCAATCAGTTCGGCAACCAGGATCCCGGCACCAACGATGAGATCCAGAATTTCTGTCAGGTGAACTACGGGGTCAGCTTTCCGGTGCTTGGAAAGGTCGATGTGAATGGTCCGAATGCGGACCCCTTGTGGTCGTGGATGAAGGAGAAGCAGCCGGGGATTTTTGGCTTGACGCGCATCAAATGGAATTTTGAGAAGTTCCTCATTGCTGCTGATGGACAGGTTGCGGGGCGGTGGTGGAGTATGGTGAAGCCACAGTCTTTGCATGATACCATTGTTCGGGAGATAGAGGCTGGCACGAATTGACTGTAATGAGTACATGATACGGACTATGGGTTTATGAGCAATTGAGATAGCGTATTCGAGATCTTTGTGTTTGAAGAGGTGCCATGTTGATCTGTTGCGAGTATAGTAAGTTAGTGCCGTAGGGTTGAGCTTCAGGAAAGCTGCACTATTGAATACGGAGACGTTTATTTCGGAGACTTTATGCAGTACTTCCATCAATCATCTCCGATGTCGTATGATTTAACCCTCTTAAAGACGCACAATCCGTTCTCGATCTCTTGACTCGACTGAAGAATCATATATGACCGGGACGCCTTACTATCTCAACATCCCCGACCAACTGCTCAACTCCAACGCCCCTACCTCCCAAATGGCTTCACGTGTAATCTTCGACCCCCTCATCGCCCTCCGTTTAGCTCCCCTCGTGAGCGCAACCTGCAGCCTCTGGTTTGCCTGGGACCAAAATATCTTCCTCCGAAACTTCGTCCACCCCGCCAACCGAACCGCCAGCGATCGCTCCCTGCCCACCTACTTCCGAACCTTTTTCCGCAGCGGCGTGACCTGGGTCCTCGTCCTCCTCGGCCTCTCGCTGTCAACAGCCGGCATCAACATCGTCACGGACCGAGCGTCACTTGCTCAAAGTCAGTCCCTGCGTTGGTACGCCGCCGGCGCCGCCTTCACAGCCGGCCATGCCTTGTACGCGCCCGTCGTCGCTCCCATCGTGCGCGCAATCTCCGAGGACCTTTCCAAGGGCCATTCCACACGCGACCTGGAACGCTGGCTGTGGTGGAACCTTCTTCGGATGGTGACGGTGGATTTGGCGGCTTGGGTGTGTTTTGGGGTTGGGGCTATGCGGACACTTAGCCTTTGAAATATTTCCTGTCTACTACATGTCGCTGGGGGCCGGATCTTCAGTGCGAGAAAGGAAGGATTTTATTTTTTTTTTTTTTTTTACTGAGCCACTTTCTCACTCCAATTCACTCAGCCTAGGAGTAATGGACCATAAAGAAATTTTGATTGTTCTGCTTATACTGGCATTGCAATATCTGGCAGCCCCACTAGACTATAACCACTCTGCTTGCTCAAGTATTTGCAAGGCGATGCTCTTCACGCTTTGGCCTTCCGTTGACATTCGGCAGGCCCAGTGTCCCACTTCCTTCTCGAGAATGCCAGCCATTCTGTGGCTACTCTGTAAATGATGATCGAACAGACTACCGATCTCGCGTTGTCGCAGTCGCTCTGAGGCTACTTCATCCGATGCCGTTAATATAAATCCGCGAAGGTCAATAGCAAGATGCCCCTGCGGGGACAGGCTAGAAGAAACACTGCTACTTTGTTCAATAGTTTGTTGGATAACCTGATGCTCAAGGACCATAGCAGTTCCTGATAGAATGAGTCTGTTGCAGCCTCGATGGTGGTGATAATTCTTCCACATAGCGGCGAGGTTAAGGCAGAGTATTTCTGAGGTGTGTTCTTCGGGGTAGATCATATCCAGGTTATCCCCATCTATATGTGCATGACGGAGATAGCGAATTCGTAGCTGTTCCGATATTTCGTTTGCCACGGAAGTCTTGCCCACACCAGATCTGCCGGAGAGCAAAATTACTTGAATAACCATTGCCAGATGTGAGGATTGTGTAGATGAAATTTGTTGCGAGCTGAAACAGTATGTGCGCTACTCTATCTATAATCCGGTCGTTAACATGTCAGTCTTGACGGCTGAGCTGACATAGTGGCTTTTTTGGCTAAAACATACGCTCATATGGCCCAAGGGTGCACCGTAACAGAAAAATTTGTTAAATGAAAGGGTGACCGTATACACGTCGAAGGTGTATATAATAAGAGTCGCAGAGTATGACTCACAAATATGAAAATGATTCGCCCCACCGCCGAGTCGATCACCACCCCCCGAGTTGATTATTAAACCCTATATTACTGTAGCCCCTTTCCATAGTAGCCTCGGGAGATGACCACAGAAATTTCAAACTAAGAATTTTCTTGTGGGTGACTGTGAGGCCTAGTCAGAGCATAGGAACCGGCCCCTTCCATAACGATCATCCTACTTTGACATAACATGGTATTGCGCCAGAGGAAAATTCAGGCATCCATATCGCGTTCAATGACAGTCACTGACAACTGACATTGTTCATCACTGCTAGGACGCATCGTCCGCACTCTTGTTACAGGCAGGTATGCCTATCTACAGCTAAGGCGGATCTTCGTATGGGTCTTGTATCCGGGTGGGCGCAAGTTGGCTGTCCTCCGCTTGCGCTGGTCGTACCACCACGGTCTACCGACCCCCGCGTTCGCGGGTGCTAGGTCTGGCATGCCTACAGCTACATCACGGTTATTCAGTCTTGCTACATGGCCATCAGCAGGTGGGCCTACCACCTCTCCCTTTGTTCTAGTTCCTCCGGTCTACAGCCAGGTTCATCATTAAGTACTCCACCTACTACCACTGTATCCCCAGTATCTGGTGGGAATATCCTATAGGGTGCATGGGCAACTAGAGTTCACGTCTACTAATCTTTAGAAGGTTCCTGCCAGTGCTACCATACTTTGTAATGCGCGTCCTAATTCTTCTTTCTGCCTATATGAGATACCATATAGTGTTGGCACATGCATAACAAAACTTTACATTGCTGCTTTAGGCTCTGAAGTAATGGCTTATTTCACCTACACTGTGGTAACGTCTACTTGCATATGCAACCGGAAATACTCTTTAGGTTTGAGCAGGATGGGTGGCGCAATTCATATAGCCCTGCTCATTATTCTATAAAGCATGTTAGCAGCGGGCCCTTGACCCTTGCGTAAAACTAATACAAAGGACCCATCTTTTCTCAGCTAACATTCAAGTTCTTCTCACTGCCAGGCTCCTCAGTGGCATTTATTGCCTTGAGGAATTGGCTTTCAGCCCTCTAAGCGATGCCGCTTCTTCATGAAATCGATGAACTTCTCGATACTCAGCAGCGAACCAAGGAGGCTCTGACAGGCATACACAGCATTGTCAACCGGCTGGGAGGGTCGTTGGATCAAAGGGTCGGAACTGAGGTTAGCAGACTCGGGATATGCGAAGCCACTAAGTGCCCTTAAGGGTGTTACAGACGTTGCTTTTGTGCAAGCGGAAAGCGTAGACAGGTAAATTGCCGTTTTATCCATTCCAAACCAGGGGTAATTTGTCGAGCTTAGACAGGACGTGTTGGACCTTGTCAGTCATGCAATCGCGTGGAGACACCGACATGGTGTCGAAGACCGGGGGATCCAACGTTTTGCAACGTCTGTGGCTTGCACTAAGCAAAAGTGAGAAAGCGGATGCGGCCAGATATACCGAGTAGTACACTCAGACAGATATTTCATAGATGCCCGCATTTCATTTGAATGCTACGGGCGATATCTGAAACAAAGGTAATTGAAGTCTGTCATTGTGAAGACCTGCGCTACACATGGCTTACTTACTACTTCAATGCCGGAGGACCTGGGCATGCGTTCCGATGTTCGACTTCAAACAGGCGGGAAACCGGATATGCTATATTGGAATGCTCTAAATCATCAAGGCTCTAGCGTCCTGATCAATCTATCATGAATCATGAGAGGATACGGAGCGGTAGCACATGAAGAGATTCGAATCGATCCTGTTGGACTGACAGAGAGGACCTTTCTGATCAGAACACAGGTGGTACGCTAGGGGGACTTGTGTAGCGAACTGACTACGCTACCAGACTGAGCCATAAGTTTGAGTGGAAGGAAGCCAAATCTTTGCGTCCGACGTTCACAGAACCTGCGGAATTTGACTTGTTCCCAAGCGCTGAAAGCACCAACAGTAAATGCTTTGACTCGGTTAACAGTATACTGACCCAGTCAGAGGCTCCAATAAGAGACCGTGCGAGACTGCATCAACTCATCCATATGACATTAGGTAAGCCAAGTTGCTGACCCTCCATCTGTGGGCGTGTTAGGCGCTACAGCATGTTCTCGACGAGTCGCTAGTGTGTACGTATGACCATCTGCGCATCCCGAATTACCAACCTGAGCATCTCTATTTGGGTGTCCAAGCCTAGTAAAGCTCTTGTATTTGCGCGCACCCCCATCACCCAGCGAGGGCACCCACCTGGATATTGACCGCTTTCAAGCCACACGCCGGCCGGTTAGTAGTTGGGTGGGTGACCACCAGCGAATCCCGGCTGTTGTATGTTTTTTTCTTGATTAGTTCTGTTTACAGTCGTTCTTGAATGGGGTTGACCAACATATGACTTGATGGAGCGGAAGAGATTATTATGAGTTACACCAGGGTCACACCAAAATGCTTTTGATCTCCATCGCGAGCTCTTCTCTCTTCTACTAACCCTAGGATTTAGGTACCGCAGAAAACTACGGAGCCAGGTCCATTGCCGTTCTTGTTTTAGTAGGTGCGCAGTACAGCCCTTGTATGCTGGTAATATAGGTAGGCGGATTGAAATCATCGGACCTAGTTGAGGATTTCCAATAATAATTATTAGCAAAGACTACTTGAGGAATGACAGGCGGTGCTCTTGCCGTCGGTCATGGCCCGTCACAATAGGAATCTAGTACAAAGAGAAGGAACAGAAATCAACAAGATCATCCACCCAATTCAAGTTTATTTATGTTCGTATCCAACAAGAACTTTTCATGCTGCACCGCTCCCTTGTCTCTTTCCTTTCAAGTTCACCCACTTAGGCAACACTGAGATAACCAGGGTAACTCCAGCGAGGACAATGCACAAAAGGAAGGAAAGCTTCAAGCCATCCATGTACGCCTCCAGAATCCCACCGATTTCCTCATCATTGAATGTTTGGCGCAGCTCTGATGCGCCTGTAGCAACGACAAGCTTGGCATCCACATTGGGGGCCAGCACTGAGAGCTTCGTCACCAACCGATTGACAAATGCAGCCTGTGCTGCGAACACGCAGATCGACCCGCCAAGAGTTTGCATGAACAACGTGACTGCGGAGATGCTGGAGAGGTCGCTCAGTGCAACTAGCGCCTGATTCACATGACAGGGATCTGGAGTGCTAGACCAAGTCCCACGCCGGCGACGATCTGATATCCGATCCATTTTCCGCTGCCTGTGTCGATGTCCAAGGTATAGATCAGGCCGGAACCAATGGTGGCCAAGGTCGATCCGATGACCATCAGGGATCCAAAGTGTCCTGTGGCTGTGACCAGACCGCCCGAGAAGATAGTCAGAAGACTAATGGCCAGGATGAGCGGCAGATTGCGTATACCAGACTGAGCTGCGGATGCGCTCTTGATGGATTGGAAGTAGATGGGCAGATAGTAGATGAGGATAAACATCGCCCCGGCGAGGAAGAACACATAAAGGCTATTGACCCAGATGTTGCGCTGTTTGAGCAGACGAGGTTGTAGAAGAGCACGCTCGCCCATCCAGCATTCGATGCCAACAAAGAGCACAATGATGAGCATAAAGCCCACGATCGTGCCGATCACATCGGCACTTGACCATGCCTTGGTCACACCACCCCATTGCAGAGCAAGGAGGTAACAGACAACGCCAGCCATGATGGTGAACGTGCCTAGGAGGTCCATTTGCAGGAACTTCTCTCGCCAGCTGGCGGTGCCCTGAAGAAGAAGAGAATAACCACGGCACTCAAGCCTCCGATAGGAAGGTTGATGTAGAAACTGAGTTTGAGAATTAGAGGTGTTCAAGATGAATCGTCATCATGGAAGGGCTTACCACCAACGCCATGAAACCTTGTCTGTGAACACACCTCCTAAAAGGGGCCCTATGACACTGGCCAACCCGTACGTGGCCCCCAATAAGCCAGTAAACGCCGGGCGCTGCCTTGGAGGGGCCGAAAAGGCAATGATTGTGTAGGCACCACTCGCAATGCCTGCTGCTCCCATTCCCGCCACAGCTCTGCCGATGATGAGCGTGGTACTGTTCTTGGCCACGGCACAGATCAAAGAGCCGATCTCGAAGATAGAGGTCGCGCCCAAGAAGTTGTTTTTAAGAGGGAAGTATTTATACCCCTTGCCCCAAGTGGACTGGAACGAAGCAAAGGTCAGGAAGAAGGCACTTGCATACCATCCCACCTATCTCAACAGTTAGCATTGGGGCCTTGCTCTTCACGGATGTCTTTAGGGTAGGTGCTTTCCTGATCTAATGACTTGAACTCGTCCGTGATGCGAGGAATGGCTGTTGCGACGATGGTCATGTCCAAGGACACTAAAAAAACGGCAAGAATGAGAGCCATGCATATGAAGGCTAGCAGAATCAGCGAAGGATAAACATCTTTGGTATCCTCTGTCACCCCTTCTTCCTCTTTCACAGCACTGTGGTCTCCATGCTGGTCAGGTGGTGGCACAGGGAGTTGATTCGCTTTCTCCGAGTCTTGTATTTGACCATCAACAGAATGAACACTGATTGCGGGCCCTGCCAGACTGGAGCTTGGCTTTGTACAAGAACCCGAGCGGTTACGGGTAGAAGCCATACTTCTTGCAGAGGAAGCTGAAATCAAAAGCGCACAGAGGTGCAAGAGTGATGCGTAGGTCTTACAGAAATATCGAACAAAACAAACTCGGAATCTTCAAGTTTCTCGAACTGACACGGCTTAAGGTTTCTCATACCTGAGTATATATAATAGCTGTGATACCTGAGACTCCATATAACAAACGGCCTTGAACAAGGTCCCACTCGCCCCACCCAGCAGAGGACTTTTTGCCTGTGCAATTAGACCAATATCTTTTGGCCCACATCGGGTCCGCCGATTTTCCATTTTAGACCAGAACGCGAGATTTTAACTCTCTTTACATGTATCCAGCCCCCTGTGCTCAGTGATGAAGATTATGTATGGCCTTTCAGGAGCAAAAATAAAAACAGAAGAATGAATCTGCCTAGTTACAAGACCACTCACTTGCCGGGACCTCCGACGCAGCACCATAAACCATATAAATGTCATAGTCACTCTTTGCAGCGATGGGAGGTTTGATGTTTGATATGATTGAAAACCCGACGGAATCTGCTAGGCCCATCTCAACCATGATCAGATGTCCCATATGCCAGAAACATGTTGCCCTGTCCAACGTCAACGAACACCTCGATTCTGGCTGTCGAACATTCATCGCAACTCACCTACTGAGTCCAGCATCTTCGACTCCCATTGAGAATGACTGCGAGCAATATGAGAGTTGCATCATCCCTCAAGAAACAACGGAACAACATCAGTTGAAAGATGGCTATAATTCAACAGTCCCGCTGTCAACAGAGTTAAAAAGAGCCGTCCCTCAACAGGAGTCCAACACCGCGCGGAAGAAGCCAGATACTGGATCAACATCGACTGAGCTTGCAACAGAGCGTCTGAATGTTCGTGTTGTACCTTTAGCTGAGCATGTCCGGCCGCGGTGCTTCGATGATATCGTAGGTCAAGAATCCTTGATCGGGCCAAATGGTACACTCAGGCAGTTGATTGAGCAAGATGATCTTCCCAATCTGATTCTGTGGGGTCCCCCAGGAAGCGGCAAAACTACAATTGCCAGGATCATCGCTCCTATGATGAGGAGAAACTTCTACGAGATCAGTAGCTTGACTACGACGACGACAGAGTACCAAAGCATCGTCACAAAGGCTACACAGGATGTACAAGAGGGTCGGAAGTCATCAATTGTGTTTTGTGACGAGATACATCGAATCACGCGTCCACAACAGGATATATTTCTCGATGCCGTTCGAAGAAATAGGATCACTCTCATTGGCGCGACGACAGAGAATCCGTCATTAAATATTCGCCATGCTCTTGTCTATAAATGTAGGATTTTCACGGTCACGAAGCCAACCACCAATGATATAGCGGCTATCCTTCGTCGTTCGGTGGAATCACAGACTCTGAAGTCATCCCCGCTTCTGGATGATGCATTCATTCAATACATAGCCAGCTTCTCTGATGGTGACAGTAGAATCGCACTGAACATCGTGGAGATAGCTGCGGATCTATGCAGGCGACCGAACATGACTAAGGAGAAGTTGAAGCATTCATTGACCAAGAGTTTTCTCTACGACCGTTCGGGTGACCAGCATTATGATACCATTTCAGCATTTCACAAGTCAATTCGAGGCAGTGATCCAGATGCTGCGCTATACTACCTTGTCCGAATGCTCCAGTCCGGCGAGAACCCCTTATTTATCGCTCGCCGTCTTATAGTGGCGACGTCGGAGGACATTGGACTTGCCAATAATGCCTTACAAACATATGCAACCTCGGTCTACCTGATGATTGAGAAACTAGGGGTCGAAGACACACAGTCTGCTCTGGCTCAGCTGGTTATAACAATGTGTTTGTCAAAGAAAAGCACTCGATCCTACCGTGGCCTGAATAATGCTCTTGCTGCATTGAAAGAGCCTGGGATGGGTAACATAGCAGTTCCCTTCCACCTCTTGGATCGTAGGCCTGAGCTTCTGAGAGAGGTTGCCCGGGCCATGACCACTGACTCCAAACAAATCCAAGAGAGCCTTCCATCCAGTCAGGGCTTTCTTCCAGATCCTCTTAAAGGACGAAAGTTCATGGAAGATACTGATTTTCTATTTCAACGAGATCCCGATCTAAGTTATCCCTGACCGCCAAAGCCGCCGCGGCTTGAATGCCTACGTTATACCAAGGATCACGTTGTCGGCCTCAAACATGAACTTCCATAACATTGGTATCCTCAGAAACTGCGCAATGTCTTTACAATGCTTTAATTCTAGTTACCATCCGTGCCCAGTACTTACAGATAGCACTGGACTGTTTCCTTTCATAAGCCCTAGAGTATTTCCCCCTCGAAACGGGTAGGGGATGCTTGAGCAGACTGTTATACTAGTCTCGCACCTGGCTTACATACGTGACTACGGCAGACTACAAGTCCATAGTCGATCTGACTCTCATACAACCACACTGGTTTTCCGGCCAGCTTATTATGACTGAGGTGCGACTCTGCCGTATTCCTGTCAGAATTAAGTCCATAAAATTTCCTGTCCTTGCCGCAGCAGCCGATTGTCCACGACATCGAACGCTGACTGCGGCGCTAATGTTTCATTACTGACGTCCAGGCTAGAACTCCGCAGTACTCCAGAGAGGATCGGGGTTTGTCAGCTTGGACAGTGTCTAGTTCTTCCAGCAACGCTGTATTGCTCTGTGCCGTTTCGGCCGATTGAGTGTGTCTGAACCTGATCAGCTTGTTTTGGTTATGCTGACACCTGCCTGTGCGGCTTCGGTGAAAAAAACAAGTGTCTCGTATTTCTATTATGCACAAGTAATAGCAGCCAGGCAGTTTCTCAACAGCAAGCCGACATGTTCTCTGGGGTGGTGCAAAGAAAATATAGAGGGAGTGGTACTCTGCGCCGTGGTTGCAAGATTATTGTAATGAGCTCTCGGAGAATATGGGGCGTACATCCAAAAGACTGATAGCATAGAGTTGACAAGATAAAGCCTCATCCTAGAAGCAGCCGCCAATCCTTTTGCAGCGTAAAGATCAAATGCGCCCACTCGGGAACAGCCCCTTGCCAGAAATGTAGCAAGTTGAAGATCAGGGACTGTGTGCTCACAACACCACATAATAAGACTCAGCGGTCCATCCGGCGGGTCGATCGGTCCAGACTTCGGCGCCTGGAACAGCCAACGAGGCGGATGCCCTAGTCCCGCCCGATGCATCCGCTACTGTACACACTAGGGACAGAGCTTGGGTTGACAGCCACCTGTCGAACCTCACGGCAGAGATTGTCTTGAACATTCTTAATGCATTCACCAACAAGCACCCCGAGCTCGCCATCCTCAACCACTCCGCGTTCATCAAAGACTGTCAATCACCTATTCGAGCGGAAACAAAAACCCTTCTTTCTGCAGTCTTGGCGCTGTCCAGGTCCCACCTGTCCCTGCTGAATCTTCCCTGGGTACACTCCTTGCTGCCCGGGGAGCATTATGCTGCTTACGCTCGAGAAATGCTAGCGGACAAATCTTTCCAGTCCCCAAACACCCACATTTCCCAGGCCCTTCTCGTGATGGCCCTATACGAGTGGGGGTCGCGAGAGTTCCATCGAGCATGGATCTACATTGGCACGGTGACTAGCGAGGAAAACACCAGGTCAAAAGCTAACAGGCGTAGGCATCGCAATTCGGATCATGCAGGCTTTGAACAGCCACCGGATCGCCCCTTATCCTCTAGAGCCCTCCCCGCCCGCTGAGCGGGACGCCGTATCTGTCGCCGTCGAGAACAGGACCTTCTGGGCGTGCTTCATCATGGAGAGAATGATCAGCTCTGGAGCCTATAGCCCGCCAATGCTGCCCATGTCGGAAATGGCAAACCTGGGGGGTTACACGTCCATTGAGCGCTGTCGAGTTTGCCTTCGGGCCTGACCTTTCATCCCAGGTGGGTGGCATCGGCCAAGAGTTTACGCGACGCTGCGAAGGGACGGCACCACTGGACATCACAAGGTCGTTTGAGGTTCTGGTCACCGGGTTTGACATATGGACCGACGTAATGGCCTTTGTGTTGAACGATGGGAGGCGCGCTCCGGGAATGTGCACAGCGAACAAGTGTCCCTGGGTGCCAGAGTCCACGTGGGGGAAGACAAGACAGCGTTTGGAAACGTGGAGAGCCAACCAACACCATCGGCTGCGTTATCCGGAGAACACAGTGGTGGCTCACAAGACCCTGGGATTTGGCGAGTCGTTCACGTACCTGAATCTCCTTTACTACCTTTCGTACGGCCATCGTCAATGCTCGTCAGAAGAACTCCACTAACAGACTTCGCATAGTACCCTCATGCTCCACCGCGAATACTTTCCGTTTCTGCCGACTGCCGTCTCCGTACCCAGAGGCCCAGTCGACCAACCGACCCTTGAGGCTGAAGCTCCTGAAGGCTGGTGGGACACAAGTGCCCTCGAGCTCTTCGGGGCCGCCGAGCAGATTGCCAACCTGCTGCACGATGCGTCCCAGTGCGGCGCCAACATGCTGACTCCGTTCATCGGCTTCTATGCCTTTTCTGCAGCCTACATGAATCTCTATATCTACCGCTTCCCGCACATGAACCTGAATCGCAGCCTGCAGGCTTCAACGAGCCTCGAATACTGCCGTGCATACCTCGAAGACTTTCGACATGTTTGGAAGTTGGGTGAAAGCTGGGTTAGCGCCGACCCTGTCAACTACTCTCCTCTTACCTTACTGACCATTGGGCTCGCAGATGACTACGATCAACCACGCCTCGATCTTATATCAGCGCGCGGCGTCCGATAAGTCTCGTTACCAGGGGAAGTCGCGCGAGGACTTCAATGTCCTGCACCAGTCGATCCATGAATTCCGAGTCGTAGACCGGTCAGACCAGCACATTCGGGAGATCGAGGGGGCTGATGTAGATTTCGCTTCCCCGAGCAACACAACACCTGCAGCGAATGTGGAGCCCGATCTGGATCTCGACGGGCCCCTTAGCAATCTCCTGAACGAGGCCAGCACAAATGCCTATGAGCAAGGGATGTGGTCGCACTGGTGGCCGTCGTTGGACGAAATCAACTTGCCCAGCTTTCGGGATGCAGAGGCATAATCTGACCGCTTGTATATTTCTATAAAGACTAGTTAGGACTTAGAGGCCTTGGACTGACATGCAACTGACGTGTCATCGTGGTCTACTTGGGGTACGAGGTAGACTTCTCGGACTCGAACAATGATATCAGTTCATGACGTTTTACTCAGCTTGGAAAGACTCACGGAGAGTCTCCCCAGGACGCTCAATCGCAATGCTGATTGTTCCCTCACTGGCACTCGCAAATGTCACGCGGAAGATCATGCCAGACGCGGGCGTGTCAGGCTCCCCGCGAAACCAAGACCATTGAGCGCAGAGCACGCCCTTCCGGGTTGCCTGATTGAAGACCTCGCCTTGAATCTTGTCAACGGGCTGACCAGGGTACTGAGGGTGTTTGTGATGATCCAGCTTGAGCCACAGCTATACTCTACAGCGATAGGATTGGATATCAGGACCTACAAACATGCCGGTCGCAGGTGGGCTCCAACTGACTACAAACCGGGGCAAGGACCGCTCGCAAGCAGCAAGCAACGTGTCCCGCCTCCTCGTGTTTGCACTTCGGCCGTATCCGCCGCTCGGCCGTGGATTACGTTAACTATAACTACCTTACCAGTAGCTACTAAGCCCATTGCAAAGCCAGTCTTATTAAGGTTATAGATATCTTTAAGCGCTTTCCCATGTTACATTATAATAATCTGGACACATTTAAACAACTCTTAGATAACCTTTAGATCTTCATATTTAGCACACTAGTAATTATAGCGCCTAGAGTACCAAGTCTTAATCTCTTCATGCCAACTAATGAAGTTATATACCTAGTTCTTGCCTACAGTCTAGGAAACAGGTAATCTACCCTTTAAGAGGGGGATATTGGCTATTTCTTAAATATAAGATAGCTAAGGAGCTGCTCCACATTAATCCATAGATAAAATCCACCGAATAAGTGATTCTTCTTATTCCGACTTATTTCATACCTGTTTGCGCGTGCTTCAGGTCGAAAGGTATGGCCATCTAGGCGTCATTAAAGAGTTGAACCGGGGACATTATAAACACATGCAGCTTCAGAAGTAGTGTGAATTTGATCATTCTTAAGAGCAGATATTATAAGGAGAATCCTTCCTTCCTGCTCAGCTAATTCAGATCTGCAGAGAGGTCTCATTTGCCTCTGAATATCGGTTACATACAGCGACCACTGAGATGCCGTAACTGCCAGGGATATGGTCACAACTCACTTTATCCCACCTCCCTACAGTGTGCCATGTCAATGGTTTCTTTCTAAAAGCTACCAGTGAACATGAGTGAGATGGAGCACAACATTTTGTCTTGGCGGCCTCCACACATAGTCTCCCGTGGATAGTATCTTTGGTCCACGATGCCACCGAGGATATGAAGCGAAGATGTTCAGGTACGCTATTGATTGAAACAGAGCTCCAATACTACACGTCCAGTTCAGACTTTTCTCCCGCTGTGCGCATAATAATAGAGAAAGTTCAGCATGCACACGACCACACTGTCCGCAGGCGGATTCAGAGATACCTGACTGAGAGAAAGGAATTGAGTATGAGAGGAATATACCTAGACCTGTAATTAGTATTCACACTCTTTGTAACCAGTTCCAGAAGTCCTTCCTCGGGCGTCGGAGTTGATGAGGAGGCTGGGCTGCGGTGAAGGTATAGTAAGCCACTTGACCCTCATTGGGTGGAACCCATAAGCCGTTCACTTCAGGTCCTGACACTCGATAGAATTCGGTAAGCCATTGCTTGATGACATTACCCTGAATTGTTTAAGACTATGAGAATTCACCCTGGAAGTATTGAATTGAATTTGTAAGCACTCTCGCTGACATTCACCGGATTGAATATCCATGATGGACCCGTGCTAGGTATAAACCACCGCCAGCCCCAACATCACCCACATTCATAATCTTCGCAGCCTTTCACTACGCGGTTCTGGTACAATCAATATGTCTCATCCTCTCGTCCTGATAACCGGCGCCAACCAAGGCGTCGGACGAGCAACAGCCCAGATCCTCGCCACAAAGCACAACTACCATGTCATCATCGGCAGCAGAAACCCTGAAGCCGGTGAAGCAGTCGCAGCCGACATCCGCAATGCGGGACATCGAGCAACATCTCTCCAGCTCGACCTCACCTCCGAAGACTTCATCAAAGCTGCAGTGTCCACCATTGAACGCGATTTTGGCTACCTCGACGTCCTGATTAATAACGCCGGGATCCTCATCGATGGCGAAAAAAGCATTACCCCATGGGAGATATATAACAGGACATTCACAACCAATGTTATTGGCACCGGCGTCTTGACAGAATACCTCGTACCACTCCTCCAAAAGGCAAAAGCCGGCCCGCCGCGAATAGTATTCCTTACTAGCACCATGGGGAGCCTGGACAAAGCTACGGATACATCGCTCCCCTGGTATCCCATTGATTATAAGGTTTATGATGCGAGCAAGGCTGCGTTGAACATGCTTATGCTTAACTATGCGCGTGTGCTGGATCCCGTTGGTGGGAAGGTTAACGCGGTTTGTCCGGGGTATGTGAAGACGAACTTGACCCGGTGGAATGAGTATGGAGTTACGCCGGAGGAAGGGGCAAAGAGGGTTGTTGAGATGGCGACTTTGGGAGAGGATGGGGAGACGAGGACTTTCAGTAGCTCTAATGGAGCTATTCCTTGGTGAGGGCAAGGCTTTTAACTTAGACACTGTTCACATATGTACTTGTCTAATTCTTCAGAATAGCAATATATTCGTTCGTGGTTTGATTTTTCGCCATCCGAGCTGACTACTGGTGCGTAGCTGCGCTATATTATTCTATATATATACATTGAGAAGGTGCGGTTAACTTTACGGCTATCTATTCTGGTAAAAAAATTCCTCTTTTTATGAGGAATGGTAGAGAGACAGTCCAGCCCCTAGCCGAAATGGTTGAAATCGCACCGAGCCGAAGACTTGATTGGACAGACCTGCCTGGTATGTTTCTGAGGCCTTGTTCGGAAGCATTCAAATACACATTTCAAGTCCTCTTGGAGGCTTGAATGAATGGAGGACAACTGTGCAAACTTGTGGGAGAGAGAAGAATCTCCAGGCTTGCAATAGAATAATAAACGTAAGCTAGATATTCTCCTAGCCAAACGACCCAGTTGACACTGATCGACACATAATGACTGCTCCAATTTTCCGAATGGGAGGGAAGAGTTTACAACCAGGACTTGCCGACATATATGCACCACCGTATAGAGCGGCGAGTGACAGGCAAAAATCAGGGGGTGACAAAGGGCACTGACGAAGACCTCGTTTTGACCCAGTGCCCATGGCAACTGTACTTAGACGAGAAACTAGTAAAGGTTCATCATGACGAAAAATTGCCGGCCGCCGTCTGGGTGAGAGCTGATGACACTACCGTTTCGTATCAGTAAATGATCGTACCCAGAGCAATCAGACTGAACGATTTGTCGATACCGACATCATTTGCACCGTATCCTTTGAGTTTGCGCCAGTGACACGCCAACCTCGACACATTGCGGATGATCGATCTCAGATTGATCGCTTTGTTGTTTGTTTGCGGCTGTGTTCTAATGGAAGGTAGCTTCTCCTAGGAGAAGAAGAGGAGGGTATTTTTATATCTCCATTTCCCCACGGTGTGATGTGATTGTCATGTCTGGTAGAAGTGGGAGAATTACACACCCGGCAAAGATAACAGCAGGACTCTGGGTTAAGTTATTACCCCGCCACAGCACGTTTAACGGAAAAAGATTCGCTCTATCTCTGAGACGATCTGGAGTCCGTCAGACCCTGCATCCAATCTTAACCAAATTCGGTCTGTGCAGGAATTGGCCATATTAAGGCAGAAAAGCTCTTAAGAACAAAACTCTAGGTTAATCAAAATCTATCAGCATGCCCCCCATCTAAGACCCCCTCCCAGTTTCTTCCTGCCAACCACTCCCCAAACGTCTTCGTCCTCGGCCTGACCTTCAGATCAGCAGCCCTAATCCACCCCTCAATCCCACCCATATGCCCAGCCTCGTCAATCCACAATGGTGCCTGGAGCACCTCCCACGGAATATTAAACTCAGTTGCATATGCTGCGCCGTGACAGTCACTAGCTCTGCCTTCTTCCCCATCGCCTTTGCCCAGATATCGACGACCTCATTAATGCTGAGATAGCTATCGTACGCGAGTAAGTTTATGCCCGCCAGCTCGTGCTCAACGAGCGCGTGTACGAAGGGTCCTGTTGACGAGGGAGTGTCAATAATGGGTATCTTGGTCTCCCCGCGCACAGGGGGGATGAATTTGTACAGCCCCCGTCCCGGGGTCCAGTCGGCATGATGAGCGGATTCGTCGCATAAACACCAACATAAATAATCGACGTCTTCTTGCAAGCTCCGTCTGTTCCCGCTTAATATAATCCACAATTGTTGCCTTCGAATCCCAATGGTATGACAGCGCATACTTCCCCTTCAAAGCCCTCTTCGTCGGTCCCAACGCCGAATACACAAACCGCTCAAGCGTCGGAACCCTCGACGCCGCAATCGCAGCGTTCTTCCCACGTCTCACTTCTTCATTAAACGCATCGTCGCTACGATGCGTCGTTTCACTGCCAGTCCCCGTCCCACGAATATAGGGACCCCAAAAGTCCGTGTTCACAAAGATAGAGTGTGCACCTTGGAATGCGGCTTCGAGAGAGGCGATATCGTTTAAATCGGCCTGGAAGAGTTCGGCACCGGCGGCGGCGAGGGCTTGGGCCTTTGTTGAGGCAGGGTTGCGGGTTATGGCACGGACGGTCCAGTTCGGGGTGTCAAGGAAGGTGTGCGCGACGGAGGACCCTTGGTTTCCGGTTGCGCCGATTATGGCGATTACTTTCGACATCTTTGGGATTGTGATTTCGGGGTTGGTTTTGGAGATGTTGGTTATTGGTGACTTATTGGTGACTGCTCGAATAGATTGTGCTTTTGAAAAGGTATTGTGATGTTGTGTTGTTATTTGTTAAGCTTGGTGATGGCATGAAGATTCGAGAAACTGGTTTATATAGTCTGACGACTGCGCTGGATATACACAAATTCATTGATGAAGCTGACATTGATGCTCTACTATGTACAGCTCCAAACCATTCCATTACTCCATATTGAATTATATGACCGCTTACCCGATTTGGAAGGCATACGAATTGGCTTAGCACTGCCACCCTTGGCCGAATATTTGATAGCATTCGATCGTTCGAATGGCTTCAAATTCCACCGCTATCGAGAGGGATAAATAGTAGCTAGATAGTCATTCGTTTAGAAGACCAGACCTTCATTAATTTTCAATTGGCCATATAAATTACTAGTGATCCATGAACGTTACTAGCTTAGCGAATTCAACACTCCATTACTCCATTGGCCAGGATCCATGATCAAGTTCTTGTGATATGCATCTGGCTTATGGGCTTACTCGCCGTTGATTGGAGGAAAACCCATAAGCCACTGCAAATTTCTGGCATGATGAAACCACTCCACTAGGCGAAATCCGGTTAAATCGCTCGCTGAGTCTCATTAGTCGAGACTCTACTTTATTTGCCAGTTTTCAAGCTCACTGCCGGTGTTCAACTGTCGCTTCGCCCATCGCCCATCGCCAGACGCCAACAAAAGAGCAGCGTCAGCCGACGTCGCGCCATCTTCCTCACAACCCAACTCCGAGCAGAATCGTATGAGAGGCTCCTCGCCAGTAAGCCACTACCACTGCGAATCACGATGCAGCAGACACCGGGAGCGCAACCGAAACCCAAATCCGCCAGGCCGAAGCGGGTTATTACCGAGGCACGGAAGTTGCAGAATAGGGAGGCGCAGCGGGCTTATCGTAAGTCGTTCTGAACTGGTTTTGGTGGGTTGGCTAATAGGTATCTAGGTCAAAGACAGAAGGAGCGGTTGCAGAGTAATAGGGCTAGAACGGGGGAGAAGGGTGGTTCTAGTCGGTATCAGCAGCTTCGGCCGTATCCTACTCCTAAGAATGTCGAAGGCGAGGCTTCGAGTGGTCCGGCTCATGAAGGTTTCGGCCAGTCATATATTCTGCCCGACGCACCAGAAACTCCGTTTTATAGTATATCCGGTACAGATTTGTCGGTCTCGACACCTTCTAGTGAACCTCTGCCAGCAACACAATCAATTAGCGGCTCGATTGTCGGTCCATACGGTGGGGTAGGCCTCTTGGAACTCTTGTTTTCAAACTCAACGCCCAACCGGAGCCTCAACGGCGATTATCTGCTGGCTGAGTCCAATGATCAACCCTTCTACCCGACACCCGCAGAAGAAGTCAACGACGAGAGCGCAGAACACTTCGCCACAAGCACCTCAAACCCGACCTCGGCCTGCACACCCCAGTTCTCCCGGCAGGGACACAGCCCCCATTTTAACACATCATCAACGTACCTCGCAGACCCTTACAAAAACCGCTTCCAAACCCCCAAAACAAACTTTTTCTCCGCCTGCCTGTTCAATGCCCCAACAATCGGGTTAAGCATCGAAGAGTTCTTCTCTTACAACTGCATGTCCCTGTGCTCGCCCTTCTACCGCCAAGCAGCCTCCTCCACGGACCCTCAAAAATTCCTATCCGACGTCTCGACGCGATATCCTCTACTCCCCGCACATCTCCAGCCAACCATCCCACAGGTCCTAATTCCGCATCATCCACTATTTGATCTCATCCCGATCCCGACTCTAAGGTCTAGGGCAATTATTCTCTCAGCGGCCCTGCCACATTTAGTTGATATGTTTGAGCTGAAGGGGGACATTCTTGAAGGGGGGTTACTTTGTTTGGGGTCGGGGAGTGGGAGTGGGAGTGGGCAGCCGTGGGAAGTGGGGAGCTGGGAGGTTGCGCCGTGGTTTTTCAAGAAGTGGAAGTTGTTGTTAGATAGTCATGGGGGGGATCTTTGGGGGAGCCCGCTTTAGTTAGCAGCCCCTTCTTGTTCATAGGGACTTAAAACTAATGTATATACAAGCCATTTCGAACACATATATTGACTTTGAATCTGGAACTTCTCTGGACCCCAGAGTTCTCGGTCCTGACAGAGAATTCACTGCGCCCTCTCTCAACGAAGTGCCCAACGCCCTTTTCCCCCACGACGCCTCCATTCTCCCAATGAATAGACAACCTCTTTTCTCAACAAGGTATATCTCGGCCGCTGCGAGAGGGTCTTCCCCTCGAAGGGCGTGTAATCAACATTATGATGCAACATCCCATTCTTCAGCTCAAACAGGTACAGACGTACTGACTAAATATGTCCGGCTGCCTTGGTCTCCGTGCCAAAAACGAAGCCGTTTGGATATTCATGCTTCCTTTACGAAATTTCAACCGTAAGCGAGTCCGTGGCAAGGGCATTGGCGAAGAAGTGTTTTTTTTTCTGGTTGTGCCGCCCCCTCTCCACCATATGACTTGGAGGCATAGGCCTGGCCAGTTGGCCCCCACTGAACGAGATGTCGTTGCTGAATCTAGTGGAGCCTAATTTTTAACGGAGGGTTGATGACCGTATTTGTGCGGATTGAAGCAGCAGGCAGATAGTCTAGTAACGTCCAATTTATTGCAAATGAAAGCTAGTGTTCTTTTTCACCTGTTCCTCCATTTGATAGCATTTATGAAGATATGTCGCTGATCGTTTACCAAAGTGACGGGTGCTAGTTAATGATGGTCCAAGTATCATCATAAGAGGATGGAAGACTCTTGATTTCGTCTGATTAGTGGCTAGGGATCGTAATCTTCTCTCTATTATCATGGTGCGCTTCCCGATGCTGTAATAGGCCTGCAATGCTAGCCTGGCGAACCCTACGCAGTCCCATGAGAAAGAAACCCTATATGCATGGTCAAGAGTTATGGCCTGAGTCTCGGCATCTTGTCATTTGATGGTCGAGTTGATTGGGGATACGTGCATACCTCTTGTCTGCCGCATGCATTACATGCTTATCTCTACTTTCCTATATTCTTCCGTCTAATTTTGTCCTTATGCGGAATGCAAAAGCAGAGATGGAGGTGGACGATACCGGCAAATGTTGACGAGCTGACAGGGAAGGCAGCTGAGCCTTCCCGGTTATGAGCATCTCATTGGTCCATTTCCAGTCCAAAGTAGTATTTTTGATGCTCGTGGCATTCGTTATTAGCGCAAAATATTTCCTGAGTTTCCTTATTTTGGCGCCTAAATCTCAGCGCTGATGAGATCTGGATCTGGTTTACAGATGCATGGGCCTTGTCGTCGCTCTGCTTGACACATGGTAATGACTGTAGAAATGTCTACTATACTGTATAGATGCCTATTTATGGGTTTGCCACCTAGCCAATTCATACTCTTGCCTAGTGTCCAGGGTTCTCTCGCATGTCTGCAGTGAGAAGCTTGGCACGCTCATTGAGCTTTCTGACAAGTTCCACAAGACGATCCTTGTGTGCACGCTTAGAGTTCATAGGCAGTGCCCTGACTAAGGAAGCTGCAGACTCGAGTATTGCAAAATCCCTTGTGATGCCCGGCTCGAAAGGGAAAAGAAGGATGTTTCCGAATATCGTTAAACAAGCCGACAATGGATAGAAGACCAAACACCTAAACAATGGTAAGCGCTGCTAATAGCGAGTCTTGGGCAAGTTTAACATACCAGAATATGCCCGACGGTAACTTGGGTAGTACATTCTGTAAAAACGTGAGAGATGCTCTACTAGATTCCGCCGCAAGCTTTAAGGAGGTGGCGATTCCATTGCACACCGTCGTACTACCTCGGTTCCATACCGTGCATCGGCCGCAAGCTCGATGAATCATAGTCAGGCAATGGTAGTAATCCATCTGCATATTAATTGCATGGATTCTGAAGGGAAGGTCAATATTAGTCACTTGCTGAGCGACAGTAGAAAGCGAAGGTCGGTACTGCGGAGGTATAGAAAGCCTCCACTCCTCAAGCTCCTCATCCAGATCACGAACAGTCTTGATGAGGCCAGCGTCAGGCAGTTGCATGGCCTGTCGACTGTAAATTGCCTTGTATATGCGAGATTTAATCTTTATCAATCGGAGGTCAGTCAGATATAAGCACTCGCGCAGCTCTCTGTGACTAGACTCTTTTAATAACTGGATATCGCATAGAAGGTCACCGTATCCTGGGGGAATGGTGAGATCACAAGCTTCATCTGTAATAGCGGCGGGCTGGTCCATTCGAATGGATAGCTCTTTATCAATTATATATGCAGCCCAGAACAGCCGGCGAAGGTGGCGGTCCATCCTGGGCAGATTATTTGTTTCTGGGAACAGCACGGAAGCAGATCCCCGGGGAGACTCGAAATTGGCGCCGAATTTATAAATCAGTCGGCCAATGAGAGAGTCCAGGTAGAGTGCGGTCTGAAAGTTCCCAGAGAAACAGTGAAAGAGCATCTAGTCCAAGACAGTGTTAGGGGCATACATTCTGAACACGGTGTTGATGATATTGAACACATACCAGCATTAGAAGAGCTTGAAGACCATCAATCGTGTCTTCTTGAAGAATGCGAGGTATGTATCTCTCGACTTCCAGCGCAATGGCTGCTACGTTAGTTTGCAGTCGATACGCAACAGCGGGGTCCCATATCGAAGATAAGCATAGAAATGCCCAGACACATGCTTTAGCGCATGAGGAGCCTAAATGATCGGACAACAGGGTTGAGTACGCGAGGTTGAGGGTGTTCTTAAAGAGATCTCGATCGATTACCGGGAGGATGGAATGGACGGATGAGCCGTAGTAAACCGCCACGCAGCTTTTGACAATGCGAACGTCTGGAAGTTGCGTAAAGCTCTGTATCGGCATCTCATGACTCGCACACTCAGTCGTATGGTGTTTCCATGGAGTAATAGGTCTGAATATAGCCTCTAGGTTCACAGAACGGCCCAGGACTGACCGTACAAATTCTCGAGCCTCTGGTAAAAGCCAAGCGGACTTCGAGTCAAGCCATCCGTATTGAAGGTCAAGCACCTCTTCCTTGCCGCGTGCGGCCGAATAGACATGTTCGTAGCACGGTAAACCCTCGTCCACTATCACTTGACTCTGAGTCCTACCACTGACAGTCGAGAATTTGTCGCAGAGGATAGTTTCCAGTAAAGAGAGACGTGCTTCTAATCGCGCAGCTCGTTGCTATGCAAATCATCTTAGGCCAATGCCATTGCTTTTTACAGATAGGTATGCAAACCTGGCTAACGGTTAGATGTGCCTTTGGTTGTCTCCGCGACTTTCTGGTGAACGTGCACTGAGTGCCCTGGTGTACGCACCAGTCGCATTGTGGAAAGGCCTTGTCACATTTGATCTATTTTCCGTTTTGGAGCGGGTTAGGGGAATCCAAGTGGCCAGGATCTTGACCACAGACAGTGGCTACCTTTCTTCAAGCACGAGAATCGCAGGCTTTAGCACTCTGCTGCCGCACTAGGGAGCTCTGTTGTTCACTCCCCATTGGTTCCGCGAGGGCTGTATTTATTATTGAAAATTGTGAAAGCGCGAATGCGAACAGATGGAAAACGGCAGAAGAAGACGAAGAGCTATCGGAGGAAAGAGGACTGCACAGCGAGTCACCGCGTCTGAGCCTTTCCCGTCTGCAGGTGCTCCTTAACTCCCAGTCAACTTTGATCGGCCTTACATTTGGGGCCGGAAGTGGGTTGTCCAGCGGGCCCCACCACCCACCAAACTCGTGAAACCCTAAATAACTAGTTGGCTTAACTTTATTCTGCGAGGGTCTTTTCGGCAACCAGGTGTTGCGCTTAATCAGCGGAAGGAGCTAGATAATTACCATCTGGATTGGCGGGTGCCCGTTCAGTTTAGTCTGACGAGTCCGAGAAGAAATGATTCTGCTTATCTTTCTTCTTGGGGCAATGCATGGTTTCACTTTGGCGCGATTCCAATATAGGTTTGTGGAGCAGACACCAGAAGTAATTCAGCACATCATCGTCGATCCATGCCAGGCGGTAGCTACAAAGGAATGGTTGCCACATATGAACCGCCCCTTGGACCCACTTGACTTTCCTCTTCTGTCGAGAATGCGAGCTTGAACTGACAAATTGGAGAAGGTTCAGCTAGCGTTCGCCGCCAACGTACATGAAGTGGGTGATAAATTGATAGTTGAATACGCCTACAAATGAGGGCTTCACTCTTCATGCACAGCCTTTGCAATTACTAGAGACCTCCGATTACTCTCAGAATGGATGCCTTGACCTTGGGTGCGACCGACTTGTCGCGGTTTGACGCATTCTCTATCATCTCCGTCGGCTATAAAACGGTTAGTGGTCATACAATCACCGTGGATGTGCTCTATCCCAAGAGCCTGAATGAGCCATCTCAGGAGCAGTTACTCTCCGTTCCTCGGCCAGTTCTGCTTCGCTATCATGGTGGCGGTCTTATCGCTGGCTACAGTCTCTTTCCTCCATTTTTCAGCCCGTGGTATCTCGAACTGGCGCAGGAATACTCGGCCATCATTGTTTCTCCAAATTACCGACTGTTGCCGGAGTCTTCTGTGCTGGAAGTGCTTGAGGATGTGGAAGACCACTGGCAATGGTTGCATCAGTCGCTTCCCATCTTACTACAGCGAGAAACAAACGGCACCGTGAAGGCCGATCTGAGCCGGATAATGACTATCGGCGACAGTGCCGGCGGGTATCTCAGTCTACAAATGGGTTTAAATCACCCAGACGAGATTCGAGCTGTCAATGCCGTTTATCCTTTGGTCAACCCGAAAGCGCCCTACTTCAGCAGTGGCCAGGAACGGCCTGTCTTCAACCTCCCGGCTTATCCACCAGATACGCTGAGATTGCATCTAGACAACATTAAGAAGCAGGAGGCAATCACGCAGGAGCCTGTGATTGTATCCGCCGCCGCTGACGCCGATCGATTCCGGCTAATGTTCGCGGCATGCCAACATGGCCAGCTAGGCCAGCTTTTCCGAGAAGCTCCCATTAGTCCCTATCTGCTTGAAAGGCTCAAAGCCGGATCCCGCTTTCCACGAGGTGGAGTCTTGATCCTCCATGGACGGGATGACAGTGTGGCTCCTGTTGAGGAGAGCTACCTGTTACAGAGGACACTTGCCCAGGTTGACCCCAGCCTCAACTTTCGACTTGTCGTGCGGGATGGGGAGCATGGATTTGACCACTTGGCCAAGCTACATGATGATTGGTTGTGGGATGCGATTCAGGACATTGTTAGATCATGGTTAGACTGAATATTTTCTTCTTCGCTGAACTGCAGGTATCGTTGCAATGTAGCTGAACCAGCCATAAAGGCGGTCTTGCCCCTCCAACACTTGATCGTATGCTCTGACTATTGCGGTTGACAAGCCAGGATAAATAAAGGTTCCAACTTGTATAAAGTGTACGTGATTTAAAATCAAGTAGAAAAGGCAGTGTTGAGATAAACATGGCCCTACGGTATATCTCTAACTCCAAAGCTTCAGCACAGTAGTAATATGTGTGATGAGGCGGGATTGTACTATATAAGGTTCACTAAGAGGTAGATCACTTGCCTCCACAGTACTTCTCGATGGAAAGGAGTAGACAGTAGAGTTAGAATGCAGATAATCTCGCTTGTTAGTGAAAAGGTATCAGGAGGTCCCAGTGTGGATAGTATCAGACAAGCTCCCACTAGTCAATGGTTTCCTGGAACTGGACCGCGGCGGTCACTTTGAGTCAATAGGGCAGGTCCTAGTACATTATCTACAAGGCAATGACGGTCTAAGTCATCGCGGCAGAGACTGCTTGAGAGACTTGCCACTCAATATTATACAGATAAATCGCGACGTGCAGCTGACGGTAAAGAAACAGCCAGAGTAGCAATGCCCTCCAAATAAGTGGTACGTTCGAGAAAAAGCCTAGGCGTGTATCGGTCCTTTCATCGGCTGGAGATGTCCACGTTCTGCTTTGCCAGGCCATCCACTTCATCCAAACGCGAATACACCCACCTCTCGAACTCTGTGAGCAGCTCAATAGCAGTCTGGTCTCCGGTCGGTAGCAGCTGCGAGAGGTATATGCCAGCGACTCCTTTACTAATGTCGATCCACTAGAATAAGTTAGCCAGCTAGAACGGATTCCCCATATGTATCGGATGACCAACCCAGTAACAATTTGGCTTTCCGGACCAGGTGAGCGAATGTGCCTCTCGTCGATCCGGGAGCCTAGATGTATTCACCAGGCCACCGATCCCAAAATCCACGGGCACATCATTTGGGACTGCATTCCAAATGGCATTGCGGGACGCCAGCGAATAATCCTGCGGTTTGTCAAGACCCAGAACACTTTCCAGATGAGGTTGGAACATTTCCTTAACAGTCTCCGGACGGAGTAACTTTTCCGTCAGTATGCCATGACAGATCTTGAGCATTTCGTTCACAGTTGTGTATAGGCCACCTCCTCCAAAGTCTTCCGCAATTGGGTCTTGGAAGACAGGATTCTTCTCTTCCTCCAGACCCTGATCCGTTCGCACCCAGGCTTTAACCTTTCGGGCACGTAGGTCTTCTCTCTGGTCGAGATGGAATGTGGCATCCTTCACGGAGACAATATCGAAAACATGACGCTGCAGGTATTCGCCAAGCTTCATAAAAGTGACTCGCTCAACCTTTTCATATCAGACATTATCATTCCATCGCGCCTACGGATGACCGAAGATTCCAGGACTTACCGCTTTTCCCGCCCAATCAATACCAGGAGAGTACATCCATCGTTCGCCCGGTTCGAAAAGCAGGAATTGGAATTGGAAAAGCGTTTGGAGTACCGGCGGTTTTCCTTGCAAATCATAATAACGTGTCATAAGAGGATCCATGAAGAAGTACGCCATGCCACTGGAGTGAGTCAACATGCGCCTTGTAACCGTTAGTAAATCTGAACCTTGTACATCCCGACAGCTTCGGAGGAAGTGTGCGATATATATACCGTAGGGTAATAGGTTTGGTGGCTGGCCGAAAGATAGGATTATCGTCCTCGTCGAAGCCCGTCAAGATCCGAGGGCTGTCCCACTCCGGTAACACACTGGCGATGTCTACATCCAGGTCTAACAGACCGCGCTCGACACACTGCATTACCGCAACAGTAGTCACAAGCTTGGTGCAAGAGGCCACCCAGTGCACGGCATCAGTATCAGTAGACTCTACCGATGCCTCCCCAAATGCCTTAGTGTAATGCAAGGAACCTTGATTGATTGGTGTCAGCAAACAGTACGTTACTCTATAGGAAAACAATATGGGGTGTCATTCCATACCATCTCTATTGACAGCCCCGAGTGTAACCCGTGGTAAGGGCTTCTTGCCATTCTCAGAGGGCAGACGGAGAAAGTTTACTCTCTCTTCAAAGGTGGTCATCCTGGCACATTAACGTCCACGGTGACAAAATGATCTGGAATTCGGTGTTCGTGACAGCCTGGGAGAGTATCATATACGTCCTATCATCTTAGACTTGCTTCAAAGCGACCTACAACGCACGACAGCCGGTGTTTATAAAGTTGGCCTGTTGGAAGGCGACGGAAAGATTGCGGAGCCAGTCGGAGTATTTTTCGACTTTGAAGCACATCAACAAGTAGGTTCGCAATCTGGCCCAAGGAGGAAAATGGCTTTCCCCTAAGGGAATAGATTGGCATATGCCCCTGTAAGGCTAACTCTGTGATGAGTTTAACAGGCCCCACTAAGGCCCCTCATTTCCCGGTTTACCTTTACATTCATCCATCTTTCGGAAAAGTGCCGCCAGGCTCGATCTTTCCAGAGCATTACCCACTGGCGAAAGGCCACAATTTCCTATTTCGGTCCATCCGCGATGACCAATTGTTCCGTGTAAGTGTGGTCGGTTAATCAAATGAGTCACATTCACAAAGGTGGCACAACAACTCAATCGGATGCTTACTCCTGCTTTGTTAGTAACATGACTAGTATTTATTGTGATCCTAAAACCATGTCTTGTGTCAACGGGCTGACTATTCGAGGGATAACCAGGGGAGGATAATTTCATCACCAATCCCTCAACCGTACGTTGGTGATTGAGGTATGTGCAGGAGGGGTTCCCACTTTCAATAATACGACTGATTCAGCCTCAGGCGTTTCGCAATATCGACTCAGCGAACATCCAAAAAAGGCGCGAGGGCATCTGAGGGTTAGGCTACCGACAAGGAATGGATATCAATGGCTGACTTTCACAGGGGCTTATCCTCGGCAAAGCACCTACTGCCCTGTTATTCTGGCTAAACTGCAATGTCTTGTCGCAAACGCCTCGCAGGGCCACCAGTTCAGAAGCGAACGGCAAAGATCCGCAGAAAAGACAGTGCCGGAGCTGACGCCGACGACAATTGGAGTCACGAAGACGGATTCGAAGACGGTCATAGTGACGAAGAATACAAGCCCGACATAAATCAAGATGACAGCGAGAGGAACGACTCTTCTGCTCCTGAGGATGAATTGGGAGAGAAAGATTATACTCCAAAACTACCATTATTCCTTATGAGGAATTGCGCCCGCTGGATGGAATTGAGTACTCTGACACCAGGGTACACAGAAACACCCTCTTATATCTGAACGATCTCAGGACAAATAAAAATCGCGCTTGGTTCAAGAGTAAAGCCAGGAAAGACTGGGAGTCATTTGTGGAAACGCTGACACCGAAAATCATTGCCGTTGACGCTACAATCCCGGAGCTGCCGCCTAGTGACATCGTCTTCCGCATATATCGAGATATCCGCTTTAGCAGGGACCAAAGACCATACAAAGTTGAGTTATCATTTGTTTTGTCTTTCGCAACGGTAGCATGCTAATTCGACCTCGCTGTTTTCCAGTCCCACTTTTCTGCTGCATTTTCTCGCACAGGGAGAAGGAGACCATATGCCTGCTACTATCTCCACCTTGATCCTGGGTCATCGTATGTTGGTGGTGGCCTATGGGCCCCCGAGCCACAGACCATCCAGCTTCTGCGTCAGAGCATTGACGAGAGATCTGAGGAGTGGCGTCAAGTGCTGAGCTCAGAACCATTTATGAGCATGTTCCTGCCGACCACACAGGAGGGAACGGAAGCCGCCGTCAAGCATTTGCTGATGCCAATCAAGAGGGGGCGCTGAAGACGAAGCCAAAGGTTCGAGAACCAGGTTCAGAGACAATGCAGTTGTAAACTGACAGAATTAGGACTATGGCGCAGACCATCGGGATGTCCAGCTGTTGAGGTTGCGAAATTACCATGTTTCCAAACCAGTGGATGATGAGATTTTTACCGCTGAAGACGGTCAAGAGAAGATAATTCATCTGATTAGCACTCTTCAACCACTTGTAAGGTTCACTCATGTCTACCGAGAGCGGAGCTTACGACATGTAGGTCGTCTTTCTCAATGCCATCATAATGCCAGACCAGGATGGATTCTAAAACGACATACTTGCTTCGCGCAGGCTCTAAAAAAAAGGCGCACTGCTATCTTAGTTAGTGAGGGTACCGGACAAATTGCATATATTCTTATAAGAACCGGCTATGGCGAGGCAGGACTTTTCGAGGCCCACAAGGGGATAGGACTCTCTCTGTCCCTGTTTGCGTCAGCCTTGTCGCAGTCAGATGATTGTCTATCTAATGAGGGATTGCAAGGGAGGAGTCATCTTGCCAGACATTGACCGTGCCCGATTAGGTTGTTTGTACTTTATAGAACACCTATTATACCACTTAGTAATGGCATGTGTTAGGGCCTATCCCTCTGGCATAACTCTAGACAGGTGCCTTATTATCATATCATACAACATAACGATGGCATGAGGCCTCAGGTACAAATAGCGCCCACCATTATAAATTGCATGAACCTCCTCCGATCAATCTCTTTCTTCAACATCAATAAACACGTCGCCACGAGCAAAGGCTCCTCCACATATTTTGCCGCTTCCTCATCAATCAGCAAGTGACCACCATTACCGGCATCCCAAGAAGATGATCCGGCAGTTCTTGTCTCACCACCACGGACGAGCTGAGCGAGGACCTTTCCGTGCTTCTTCGATTTGACGTCTTTCAATTGGAGAACGATAAGGTTTTCCTTCTGGCCATTGGAATCTTTTCTTTTTGTGTAACTCCACTCCAATGTCCATCCATCGGGTGTATTGAAGCTAGTCGCTCGCGAATTCCATCTCGAAGAGATCTTGATAGGGAGTGATTGACTTTTTGAACCATCTGTCATGGAAATCTCGGGATCACGCCCAGGACCAAAGAAATAGTCAGTGCGCACAAGGTCTCCACGGTTGGGATCTGAAAGAATGGCGTTTCCCGAGCAGACGGATGAACGCGTTGAGACGTAAGCGATAGTACCATCTGCACTGTCGTAGATTGGGATTTCAAGCTCCCTAGAGGGAAGAGGGAGACGGAAGGCAGCGATGCCCTGCGCGGCGATATGCAGGGTACGAGAGGGGTGGAAGGAGGCAAAATGCTTATCATCAAGCGAGTCACCTGTCAGAGTGGAGGTCAAGGATAGAGCATAGGATTTCTCTTCGACGAAGAGTTTCGTGTCTTTTTCGGTCTGAGTCAGGGCCATGGTCAATAGCTTCTAGAATATTGTTTGCAGTAGTGAAATAACGATAAGATTTTGCCCAGGATGTTCTGAAGTTTGAGAAGTGAGAATGTTTTGCTTGAGGGATTGACAGTGTTCAATCTATCATGATGGGAGCGCGCAATGACTGCTTATATACTTCAGATACGATAGGTAAGGCATACAGCATGTATGTGAGCTTCACACTTAGATTGGAAATTCGTACTGTACTCCTAAAGCCACTTACCGTCATACTCGCTGCACTTGAAGGGGCTTAGCATTTGATATAAAGGGTAATCTCGTATTCGGTAGGATGGGTTCATCCCAGCCAATCGCATTGAGGTATGTGGAGATGCAAGCCTGTCTCGAAACCCAAACCTCCCCCAAACTAACAGTTAAATGCTAAACACTAGGACCAATCCAGCTGCCAAGGCCAGCTCGTGCAGTAGATCATGATCAAAAAATCAGAACCCGCAAGGAAATCATACCTTACTGTCAGTACCATCATCACCTTCCTATTGGTTAAGCTACACTTTGTGTGTAATAGGCTTAGCGCTAGTTTGTTCTTATGAGCTGAACACACTAAGTAGATAAGCCACAAAGTGGCGGCAAGTAGCGTTCAAGTTTTCTGCATTTTCCGATACTCATTTAAATGGCATTTGTTAGTCAACTAACTATTCCATAATCTCCCTTTGAGACTTTAAATTTCATAAGCTGCGCCACTGAGTAGTCTCGCGACAAGATCTACTGTATCCGTGTCCAGAAGTTTGCGGCTTTAGTCTGAAGCGGAGCGCAGAGGACCACCTACCCGGAGTGGTGGCAGTGCTGGGCATGGAACAGCATATGTCTCACCCAATTAAAAGCGCCTTATTGGCTGTCTCTTTATCGCCATCGTCTATCAAAGCCCGTTAGAATGTTCTACTATATCAAGGACAATCTGAAGGCAACACAAGAAGAATAACTGGACTAGGTGAATGACGCCTGAACTCAACAACTTGGAACACTTACGCCCGGCTCGTTTGCATATTGACAGCGTTCCGACTCCTGGATAATCGTGGTCTACGGATCCCGTCGATTTTGTGCTACTCATAAACAGTACGATCCGCGTAAGAAGCTGCACTAGAGTCTTGATTGAAAGGTAGTTTGATGGAGGCACTTCAAGAAATGAGGGACAATTATAAGGAATCTCGTCTCCCGTCCCTCCTATTCTCCCTCCCCCTTCCCCAACCACCCACCACGCTGCTGCTGCTGGGGGCCAGAAAGGAAACGAAACGAAAAGAAATGAAAAGGACCAAGGTCTTATTATAACTGGAAATCAGGAACTCATTCCACATCCGGAGTTCTTTAACGAGAGAAGGGAACAGCAATATCAGTTTTCCGTTTCTAGCACTGGAATGAGGTAAGGTCTGTGCAGACTCAGCAGAGAGACGCAAACAATGACTCCGCAGTCGGGTCTGTGAAGGCTGATTCAACCGAGAAATCGTGAACTCTAATGGCCGGAGTTGGTCATTTTGGGACAGAAACTCTATGAAAGAATCGAGGCTAAATGGGAAGGGAGCTGTCTGAACGAGGGGGATGTTAGGAAGACGGTGTCGTCGCGATATAAGGGGAAAAGCTCCAGACAATCAGGGAGGGGAAGGGCTGAAAAAGAGAAGGCCTCGGAGAAGCCTCCTTTCCGGACTGGTTGACGAGGCTCAACTACAGCAGCCTTGTCCCGAAGGGTTGCAGCCCGATGCGCCGCAGACTAACCCATCCTGGTAGCGGTAAGATATATAACTAAAATTTACACATAGAATATGGGGACCTGTGGAATCGACGCTGAAAATGACG